ATTTTGGAATAGAATATTGTATTTGTATGAACTATTCGTGTAAAACAGGATCCTTCAAAACATTGTTTGTTGCACGTCGTGTTAGAACACATTCTGGAATGCTAGGTGGAGGTGTTGCCCTCCCTCCAGCTCCAGTAATATTCTGGCAGAAAGATTTGTGATGCACTGACTGAGGCAATAAAACAGATGCTCAGGATGAAGGGAGAGGATGCTCCTTGCATGGGGAAATAACGTTTCTCAGTCTGCCTACTTGTGCTTAAACATTTTGGGTTAATCTAGCATATGATACGTGACTGCTTCTTTTCAATTATTTATTTGTGGATTAGAAGTTATTTCTCCTCATCTTTGAACTTTCATTTAGAGGACTTAAATAAAGCTCTTCTGTTTCCTTTCATCTTTGTGAGTTATTTATTTGCCGATAAGACTTCTTTCTAACTGACGTTTCAGCAGTTTGGCTGAAGAACTCTGCATGATTCATAGATTTCTTCAACACTGGGAAGGAAAAGGGAATGAGGAAATGTGTCCGTAAATAAATAACATTTTCAAAAGAAAGTAAAGGCTATTGCTATAGGAACAAGAGTGTTTTAATAATAATAGAGAATTTGTACTGAATCATACCCTTCTATCTATCACCATCTCTGTCCTGGGTTTTTAAATTTTTTTAAATTTTTATTTTATATATTGAAGTATAGTTGATTTACAGTGTTGTGTTAGTTTCTGGTTGCAGCAAAGCAATTCAGTTATACATATATACATATTCATTATCATTATAGATTATTACAAGTTATTGAATATAGTTTCCTGTGCTGCATAGTAAGACCTTGTTGGTTATCTATTCTGTATATTGTAGTGTGTCTGCTAATCCCAATCTCCCAATTTATCCTCCTCCCCTTTCTTCTTTAGTAACCATAAGTTTGTTTTCTATGACTGTGAGTCTGTTTCTGTTTTGTAAATAAATTCATTTGTGTCATTTTTAGATTCCACATATAAGTGATATCATATGATATTCATCTTTCTCTGTCTGACTTGGTGTGATAATCTCTAGGTCCATCCATGTTGCTTCAAGTGGCATTATTTCATTATCTTTTATGGCTGAGTAGTATTCCGATACATATCACATCTTCTTTATCCAGTTATCTGTTGATAGACATTTAGGTTGCTTCAGTGTCTTGGCTGTTGTAAATAATGCTTCTATGAATATTGGAGTGTGTGTATTTTTTCGAATTGCAGTTTTCTCCTGATATATGCCCAGGAGTCGGACTGCTGGATCATATTGTAAGTCTATTTTTAATCTTTTAAGGAATCTCTGTATTGTTTCCATATTGGCTGTACCAAATTACGTTCCCCCAACAGTGTAGGAGGGTTTCCTTTTCTCCACACCCTCTCCAGCATTTATCATTTGTGGACTTTTTAGTGACGGCCATTTTGACTGATGTGTAGTTTTTATTTGCTTTTCTCTGATAATTAGTGATGTTGAGTGTCTTTTCTTGTGCCTCTTGGCCATCTTCATGTCTTCACTGGAGAAATGTCTGTTTAGGTCTTCCACCCATTTTTTGATTGGATTGTTTGTTTCTCTGTCCTGTTTAATTTCTCTTCATTCTCACCATTCAAGCGACCATAGGCAATAGCAATAGAGGAAATTTTATCCTCATGATAACTTTGTTACTTTTTGTAAATAGTCACTTAATGACTGTAGGTTACATGTGAGGAAGAATCTTGGTATGAGGGAAGGTCCATCCATCCAGTTTTCTCCCTTCTCAAGAGTAAGACACACTTGATTTCTGTTTTTTTAATAATTTTAGTGTTACATTGTCACTTTATACTTCCATTCTGAACTTCCAATAAAAAATACAACAGCCAAAAGCTGATTGTAAGTTTGAGAAAAGTAACAAAATATTTGCAGTAGGTTATCAATTTTGGAAGAAAAAAAAAGCTGAGCCTTATATTATGGTTACTTATCTGACTGTGAAGAACTCTTGAAGTTTTAAACTGCACACTTTCAAAAGTTTTTTTAATTCAGTTATTCACTTATTTTCTTTGAAATACAGACACTATAGCTAATATTTGGAAGGACTTCATTGTCATTTCCTTTGGAGTAAAAGCAGATGCATTACAGTTAGATGTTAGGAGTTTTGGCTCTGGTATCTATATAGCTTTGTGACCTGATTCCCAACCTTATTTGACCCATTATCTAGGGAAAATGACATGCTTGCTCCAGCCTCAGTTTCCTCATTTGTAAAATGGGAATAATAATGCTACCCACCTTATATAACTTTTATATGACTGTTTTGAGGTGCAGGAGAGGAAAAAGTTTTCCTCATCCCTCTTAGGGTCCCTGGCTGGGTCTGAACATTAAAGTGACAAACAGATCAACAGGAGAAAAGCATACAAATTTATTTGAAATGAGTTTTACATGACATGGGAGCCTTCAGGGAAGACCCTGAAGAGACAGACTCGAGTATTTTTATGCTAGGTTGGGTGAGGAGTGGGCAGTAGGGTAGAAATATGATAGGTTAAGGAGTATGAGGTCAGTGTAGTAAACTAGGGGGAAGTGGGGCCTAATGTTAGGATTCTTCTTGGTGTCCTTTTGTCTTAGGAGATAAGGATGCTCCTTTCCTCCAGGTATAGGGAGGGTACCTCCCACAGGAGGGTTTTATGACCTGTTTCAGGGGAGAAAGGGTCGGGATGGTCAGAGTGACCTTCCTGCTTCTGCTGTTTTCTCCAACCTCCTCAGCTTAAAACAGTCACTATGGCAAGGTGCCATAGATGGACAGAGTGTGTCTGGAATGCCATCAGAGGGTCAAATTGTTAATACAGTAAAGCACATTACAGCAGAGCATGACATTCGGTCAGCATTTTATTGTTATGATTGTCCTTGTTACGGTCATAATCATTGTTATTTAGTGAGAGCTTCCTACTAGTGGGTAATATCTTCTTAGAGCGAAGCTGCAGCTGAAGGTGATACGTGGTAGATTTCTGTTCACTTTGGGAAGTACTTGTTGAGCTCCCAGTATGTGCCATGCACTTTGTTGGCAACTGGGAATCAATGCCGGAACAAGACAAACCGGGTCCCTGACTTTCTTGGGCTGTTTTGAGGTGAGGGATGGGGATGGAAACAACATTGATGTGGAGGATTAGCAAATAGATAAACTGATGAATTTGTGAAACTTTGACCTTTTGTGAGCAGGTTTGTCAAGGATGAAATGACTCCTTTTACTATTTCATGAAGACTGTGGAGTCACTTGAAAATGTATCAAGAGGATAGAGAGGGTTGATCAGCTGTTTCCATCTTCACTGAGGGAAGAGGAAGCAGAGGTCAACTTTGTATCAAGGGGAGTGTAGATTGGCAGTGAGATTCCTAGCGATGAGGGTTACTGCACACCAGAATGAATGAGCACAGAGGGCTGGAGGATTTAATTTAATTATTCTTTCACTTTTAAGAATTTATTCAGCCACAATACATGTGTGGTTCTGTGCAAAATGTGGAAGGAACAAGGGGAGTGTTGGTACCAAGTCACTGCAAGACTCACTTTTTAGTAGCTCAAAGTTTTTGGTGGTTTGTTTTTACTAAGAAGTAAGAATAAAAAGTACACAGTGTATTTTTTAAATTAGATACTCTCTGACACAGCTGTTTTTCTGTCAGTCTGCCATAAAATGGTTGATTAGAAATGATTTTCAAAACCTGTATTTCAGTGATAAATTGCCTTCTTCCTGTGTTTGGTCACACTTGTCACCAATGAGAAGCAATATGTGAAATATTCAAAAACATCCTCCGAGAAACAGTTGATTATTTTCTTTCATTTCTTATTTTTTCCTTTTTTTTTTTAATTTTAGCAACACTTAGTGGATTAAGTGTGCTGAAAATTTCTTCTTTAGTAATTGGTTTTCTCAGGTAGATGTATGCCTCAATGATATTGGATAACAACTATGCAAATATATGCTAATCAAGCCAAGGAAATAAAATAATAATACTACCTTGTACTTTCTAAATTAAAGATACTGGTGGATTCATTCTTAGTGTTCAATCAAGCACAGAAGAATTGATGAAACAGAACTATCATCATGGAGCCCTTAAGGCAATCTTAAAGTAGAAATTAGGTACCAAGGGTCTTCTCAAGGTCCAGAAGCCCAAACAATGCCCAGAGTTATGAGGAAAGACACTTACTCCCTGCCCCTTATCAGATTTCAGGGAACCTGAAAGTGTTTGATTGAGAAGAGGTGAGAACTAATGGAGATTATGATCAGTTTAATTCAGGAAGCAAGACAAATAAATTTAGCTGCCTTTCAAAACACAGAGTCCTGACAAGATGACTTCCTGGGCTACATCAGCTGAACTGCTTTCCCCTGGCTTCTTAGTAGGTCCAGTCAAGGGGAAAATCAGCAGGAGCCCGAAGAGAGGGAGCAGTCAGAGACTAGGACACTTCCTGGCTCCCTCCCTGCTGGGCCTCCTCTTGATTGTGGCTAAATTCCTCCCTCCTTCATTAGCCCTTCTCCTAAGCTCCTGGTCTCCCTGGGTTATAGTAACTGCTTCTTCCACTTGTTCCTTTAGATCTAGGACCTTCCTCCTGTGGCCTTTGTCTCAGGTACTTCATCCTTCCTTGCTCCCTACATTTCTATAAATAGTCCTTGATGAAATTCTCTTTAATCACGCCTGTTGAGTGTGCAGTTCCTTTCCACTAGGGATCTTGACAAATGCACAAACACATGTAAGATTGTGACACGTCAGTGAGAGCCCAGGTGCTGGTCCAGATGGTAAATCGTATCAGCATTAAGGGAGGATAGAAATCACTGTGGACTGGTGGTCAGGCAGGTGGACTTGAGCTGTGATTTGAAGAAGGGTGAGGTTGGGTAATAATTTAAGAGTAAGGCAGTGAAAGGGGTGGAGTTTAAGGTTAGTAGCCTCAGTGAAGGCTCAGAGCTGTAACATACAATGACTATTCACCGTCACCAATCAGACAAGCTTGATGCAAGTAGAGATGAACATTTGCTGTAGAGAGTAGAGGATGGGGTTGGCAGGGCTGGGTGTGGTTGAATAATGAAATGTCTTGAACCATGGGGAAGCATCATGGGAAACCAATGGAATATTATTATTATTATAATTGCTCTTTTCCAATCCTATAGCTTTTATAGTCGTAATAATTATGATACAAGTATATAACATTTATATGGTATTTTTTTAATTTTCAGAGCATCTTCATGATGCTTAATACAGATAGTTGCCTTTACCATTACCTTTAACTCTTCTTCCGTGCCAAATAAACAAAAACAAAAGCAAAACCAATTCTGAAGATTTAGCTGAGGAAAAAAGAAATCTAAATGTGAGATTAGTTAACACTTTTTCTTCTCATGTAGAATACGGCAATCAATTGCAATAATTTACTTGAGCAAAAAGGAATGATAGCCTTGCAGTTTTTTTAAACATCAAAAGCTAAAGAAATTTTTTTAATTGCATGAGGAAAAAAAAAGAAACATTTCTTTCAGGGCATAAGAGGATGAAGGAACAGAAGCAATAATTGTAGTTTGAAAACTGCTTATAATTCTTGCTGCAGCAGTGTTCAAGTGATAAATTGTTTACAGAAACAGAGACATAATTACAGTCCTTCAGGGGTCCCAGAACTCCCAATGCTGCTAAAGTCAGAGGGACAATGAAAGGCCTCTTCTTAGGATGATCCATCAGGAATAGCTTAGGCAGCAGTGAATTGCTTCTAAGTAACCTTTGTCTGGTTCTAAGATAAAGATACAAAGAAACTGCAAAGCCTTTGCTCCCACAAATTAGCAATACAGTGTGGCACGGAGGTTGGGGGGGCGGGATTTGGGGGGAGTGGAGATACAAATTTTGTAATTCAGTAGTTTGGGTTTTAATCTTGATTGTGCCACTTAATATGTGTGTGAATTTAGGCCACTTTCTTAACCCGAGTGTCAATTTATTTATTTGGGTAGTAGTGATTAACTACCTGATTTGGAAACTAAATGAAACAGCATGATTGCATCTAACGTGTCTTGTGTGAAGTTGAACCCAGTTAATGCTCAGTTGGTATATGTGTTGCCTATGTGTGTGTGTGTTGAGAGTGGGGAGGGATTATGTAGACTATACCGAAAAGGTCATACAGAGTTTCTAAGACATGCATGGCATGGACCATGGGGTTTTTTTATTGCTTTTAACTACCACCAATTTTCACGTGGTATAAACTCTCTGAAGCCATGTTTCAAGCCAGGTTTGTTGGTGGTTCTCTGCTCTTGGCCGTTTGGCCTGAAGAGGGCAGTGTAGGAGAGTTTCCCTCCTGCTGTGAGTCAGCACTGTGGAACTAAAATGGAGCCCTGAAGAAAACTAAACCAGAAAGCTCAAGTTTAACCAGAAAGACAAAAAGGTATTCTGTGGCAACTTTCATTAATCTCCTGATTACAATTTCAAACAAACCTGCTCTGTCCTTCATTGGAGAGAGATTTGGGAATCAGGAAGAGGTCTTCAAACCACAGTTTTCTATCCTGTGTTTAAATAATCTGGAAGAAAAATAAAATTACAGTTAGTTTCTCTCTGGATAGCACTGAAATCGACTGTTGCATTAGTGATTCCGTTCATCTGATTTCGCTTCTTTCTGTCCTACTCCTCTTTCTCGCTTCCTCCCTCTCTCCCCTCCTCTCTTCTTCTCCCTTCCTGTCTTGTCTCTTGTCCTCATTCTTGAGTGTATTTTTTTGCCTCTTCTTGGCCAGGCTGTTGGAGTGAGCCCTGCAGAGGCCATGCTGGTATATCCCTGGGGAGTCAACTGCTGACGGGACCATTGCCTTCTGCAACTTTGCTTTGGATGTATGAAGGTGACATGTTTGCTCTAGAAACTGGGAAATTTTGTGCTGCTTTCTCCTCTCTCTTTGATTCTTTGTTCCCAGTCAGAAAGCCACAATTATGAAAGAAGTTGTTTTCTTTTTGGCAACAGATTACAGGTGAGAGATCAGGGTCAAGCTAGAAGCCAAACTGACCAAAGAAGTAATGAGAACAACATCCAGAACAACGCCTGCATGATTCAGGTCTGTCTACCTGGCAATGCTAGGAAAGGGACCTGGTCACCCAGCCTGGGTACCTAGCATCCTACCTCTTGTAACAGAGCAGGACCCTGTGGGGCCATCCATGGTCAGACCCCTCGCTTATATCCTCTGGACCCTTCCCTTATATCTTCTACTGTATCTCCTCTCTGAAGTACCCAGATAAGAGTATCTCATATGTATTTCCTGAGTTTTTCAGATGATAAAAACTACCACCAAAGGGAAGAAATTAACTACTTGATGGTGGTGAGCACCTGGCCCCCAGATCTCTGGCACCCAGGGGTTGGTAGAGTTGACCACCCTATTATCTCAACATCAGCCAATCAGAGAACTGTGCATGAGCTGATCACGTACCCCATGACCCCCTCCCTTACCTGGCCTTAAATATGCTTTGCTGAAACCCTCCAGGGAGTTCGAGGTTTCCTTGGGCCTGAGCCACCCTGTCCTCCTTGCTCGGCTCTGCAATAAACCTTTATCTGCTGCCAACTCTGACATTTGAGTTTGTTTGGCTTCATGGTGCGTTGGGCACACCAACTTGCCTTCGGTAACTATATTGCTGCAGTCTGACACCTTTACCAGTTAGGTCTTGAGGTGCTCCCTTTTAGAAAACCATAAAAGAATTGCTTCCCGAGATAGTCTAGTGGAATAGCTGGCCACCCAAGACTAACAAACAGAATCAGCCACCCCAGATTAGAATTCCCCTCTTCCAGTTACTCCCTCTGAGACATTTTTCCCCTTTGCAACTAAGGGTAGTAATTGCTTCATTGTAGAGTTGATGGGAAAGTAAATAAAATCTCTTGAACATCTCTGGTACAAAGCCAGGCACATGGTTAACTCTTAAGAAATGGTGACTACTATTATAGCCCTACACTACTTGTGTTTTACAGCTGAATTCTAGATTTCTATAAGTGACTTATAGACCCCACACATTCCAGAAAACTTAGACACACACACACACACACACACACACACACACACATTCAGCAAACAGAGGTGAGTATAATGTAGAGATACATTTATTCAAAGACATGCCACCAGTATGTGTTGCAACCCACAGGAGGAAATACACTGGACACAACTAAATAAATAAAGATAGGCCCTCTTACAATGTGTTGATATTTGAGTTGGTTTTCCATTGTCCTTACATATTTTTTTCTGACAGACTAATTTAACATGTGCTCCCTCTATATGTATAGTTTGCCTTTCTTATTTAGATATGACATGTGCTTAAATTTCAGCTCTCTTGATTCGGCAAAAGTGTGGCATGTCATTTTTCCCACCTGTGGCAGGCAGTTCTAACCAATCAAGATATTCTCTCCTGCTGAACCTCCTTCAGAATCCTCAGCTTCAGAATCCTCCTCAACATGGTGTCTAGACTGTCACTGCCAAGTGGTTGGAATTGATAAGGCAAGGTGAAATTTTTTTGTCCTCTCTGGGTCCTATTCTGAAGGCTCTCACAGACTCATGGTCATATTATGTAAATAAAAAGCTGAAAGAATTAGAAAGCAGGTGATAATTACTGGGACAAATTTTTGTTGTAGTTGTTTGTTGTGTGTTTGTTTTTGTTTTGGTGGAAGGAAGCATAGAATTTATTCAGCAAATATTTGCTAAGCTGGAACCCGTACCATATCCTGGGGATTCAATGGTGAAGAATAGTAATCAAAGTCCCAGACCTCATGAGGCACTTTAAGAAATACCAGTGCCCACATCCCACCTACTCTTTTAAAAGCCTTAATAAACTAATTAGGTTAAGTGCCTCACTCATCATATCATGTTGTAAATGTCTGTCTGCCTATCCGTCTCCCCAGCTGGGCTGTAGCATTTGTAAAGGAAGGAACTGTAATCCCTTCAGTTTTTCAAAATGTTAAGGTAAAAATTACATACATCAAAATGCTAAACCTTTAAATATGTAATTGGATGAATTTTTATAAAGTATGTATCTCTGTAATCAACACTCTAATCAAGATAAAGAACACATTTAGTACCCTAGAATGCTCCTTTCTGCATCTTGCCAGTATATCCTCACCTCCCAAAGGCCACATTGTGCTATTTCTATTAGCAGAGGTTAAAAGTGATTAACATTCAAATCAATCAACTTTGAGTTTTACTCAAACTCATAACGGATACTCCATGTTGTGGAGGCTGATTATCCTCCATTGTATGGGTGGGCCTCATCCAAACAGTTGAAGGTCTTATGAGAAAAAACTGAGATCCCCAGAGGAAGAAGGAATTCTGCCCCCAGACTGCCTTCAGACTTGGGACTGAAACACTAACCCTTCTCTGGGTCTCCAGCCTGCCAGCTTGCCCTGTCCCTGCAATCACAAGAGACAATTCCTTAAAATAAACCTTTCTTTCTCTGTATATATACACACATAACCTAGTGGTTCTGTGTCTCTGGAGAACCTTGACTAACACAACAGGCAAACTTGCTGTAAGCATTCTTGCTTAAGTCTTTTTATGGAGGTTTCCATTTTTCTGGGGTAAATATCTAGGCATGAAAATGAAAGCTCAGTCTGTGGGCATATATTTAACTTTATAAGAAGGTGCCAAACAGTTTTCCAAAGTGATGGACATTTTTTCACTCCTATCAGCAATATATGAGAGTTCTGGTTGATGCACATTCTTGTCAACATTTGGTGATGTCAGCCTTTTAAATTTTAGCTGATTTTGATGGGTGTGCAGTGATATGTCTTTTTAGTTTTAATTCACATTTCTGAGAGCTAATCATGTTAAACAGCTTTTTTGTGTGCTTATTGGCTATTTGTTTCTCTTCTTTGGTGGGCTGGCTGTTTAATATTTTGCAATTTGTTCCCTTTGAATCTCAACTCTTAGAATTTAGGAGGAGTTACATGACTACTGAATGAGTGAATAGGAGAATGTTATATCATCTATCATTGGTGATTATTCTGAAATGATTATTAAATCTTTGTCTAGTTACTTGTAATGCTTCTAAAGTGCTACAATAATCCCTAACACATAGCAGTCAATATTTGTTAGCTATTAACAGCACCCCTATTTTATATGAGAGAAAATGAGGATCAGAAAATTTACGTGACTTGACCAAGGTCACCTAATTACTATCAAAATCTCTGCTCAACTCTGGGCTTCACAAATTCTGTATTTCATATATTGTATTACTTGATTTATTCTTTCAACTATTATTTATGACAAATCTAATATGGCAAATATGATGGAACTAATCATTTTACATATTTTAACTCATTTAATTCTCACTACAACCCTGTGAGGAAAGCACTGCTATGTTTATTTTACAGACAATTAAACTGCAGTACAGAGAGGTTATGCAGTTTCCCAAGATCACACAGCTAATTAAGAGGTATAGGCAGGATTCAAGCTCAATCAGTCCCATCCAGGTGTCTATGTGTTTTATTTTGTTTGCCTTTTAAACCACTATGCTATACTGTTTCTTAGGACAAGAATACTTTTGAACATGTTGAATTTGAAGGGCTAATAAAAGAGCAGGATGGAGAAGTCCAGCAGAGCTATGACACTTAGGAAAGAGTTATTGGAGGCAGGGGGGAAAGGAGTGTGTAGTAAGACTGTGCATTCACTAGACTACAATGCAAGGCCCTACTAAGAAAGGTGTGTTAGGAGTGGTTAGAGAAAGTAATAGATATATTCCAAGATGAATAAATTGCAACAGTTCCATTTCAGAAAGTTCTATGGTAGCCCCCATTTTTTATGGACCTACCTTGTCTATAAGAATAGATCTGTATTGATGAAATTTCTTTATCTGCAATAGTTTGTCCCTAAGTTACTCCACAATATTCGGCTGCAGTTTGCTATTAAGAGTCCAAGACAAGTGAACCTAGATTGCCTGCCCATGGGCCCGAGTAGCTGAAGGTCATTCTGATAACCCCTTTTCTGTTTGCTGGAACCTCCAGAAACTCCCTTAGGTCAGGCTGACTAATCCCTCCTCTGCTCAGATTTCACTCTTCTGAAAAGGCCGTGTGAGGAGCAGGGAGTGAGTCAGTCCCTTCAGACTGGCAGTACCAGGTCTGGAGCTGATCTGTGTTATCTTAGCTCCCACAGGATGAGTAATCATGCTGAGCCAGAAGCTCCAACCCTGGAAAACAGGTGCAAGCATCCAAAGGAGGACTTTGTGCCCATAATAGGAGGTGAGCTGAAACTCAGTCTATATTTACTCCTTTCAACAGAATGTTTTTTGGACCATGGTCTGCAGGAACAGTTCAGGTTCCCAAAAAATTGATCTCTGCACCTATTATATGGGCATGCCAGAAACACCAGCTACAGTGCCCAGCCTGGAGCCAGGGGCCAGCCTGGCTTGTGAGGACGTGCACAGCGGGTCCAGAGACATCCTCTTGACACTCCAGAGAGGCAGTAGTTGACAAGGAGTGACTAAGCCAGGCCCTGTCTACTGGGCTGCACACACAAACATGTTTTTGAAGTCCTGTATACACTCAGCAGGGAATACACTGTTCTGTCTGGGAGGTTGCCAGAAACTTATGAGAGAGTCAGATCAATGCCAAGAATAGACACCAAGGCCTCACTACCCCCTCAGAAGGGGACATTGTGTGTTGCTGGGTTGCCACCATCCCTCCTTGCTCCTAGCCTTCCAAACCATGCCTATAAACTGTTTCCCTGCACCTCTCAACCCCTTGGTTAGTCTTTAAATGATTACTAGGGACCATTGTTTATCTTTGGACAACTATAATCACACTATCCAAAGCCAAATGTAAATATGTTCCTTCTACTTTCATCTGTTTTGCATCTCAGAGCCTTAAGCCATGAACCCTGGAGGCAACACCCAAGGAGAACTATCAGCCTTGCCTATCTCATGCAGGTATAGGCAAAGCGTGAGCTGCTGCCCTCCCTAGTTAGCCCTCTGTTGTAGCTTAGGTAGGGAACACAGAGATTACTTGAAATTCAACCAGCGCAGGCAAAGTGGTGAGAAAATGTTTATCCTGTCTCAGAAGTACTCTTCCCCGGAGTGTTCCTAAATCCTCAGTGTCTCCATGCTCAGCTCTATAAACAAATATTTAAAAATATTTCGTTCTCTATAATAATACCTGTAAGAGTCAAATACCAAAATTTAAATAAATTTTAAGTGAGTTTTTCATATGTTCCCGGTATTTGTATAGGATATAGCTTCTCATTTGAAAACTGCATAGTTCTCTAAGTTTCTAAGGTTCAACTGCTTTTTTTGGTTTATAGAATTGAGGTTAACCAAGTATGTTTATATGATGTCAACTACCTGAAATACAGGCATGCACCCAATTCATCCATCTCTCTATCCATCTAACCATTCACTCATCCACCCATCCAATACTTTTTGAGTTTAAAGTCCCTGTAAGTAACTCACCAGCTTCTATAGCACTGAAGTTGAGAACCAACAGTAATTAAGAAATGATAAACATCACACAGATCCTTACTGGTTATTAAGCAACTGAAAATAGAAACGCTCAGGGGAGAGTGATCTGAGTGAAAGTTAAAGATTCTGCCATGGAGTGATTTCACCAACCATATGCAACTGCAAAATACAGAAAGCCAAGCCCAGGCAGGACAGGCTCATTCTGTGCTAGGACCTGCTAATTGGTTTCACATATATGTGGATGGAACCCTCATGGGGATAGATTCCAATATGTGGAGAGAGATGAGACAATTCACTGAGATATTTCTGAGTCAGACTGAAGGAGCTGTCGTGACAGTGGGCTGTGGCTGTAATCAGTGTTGGTGTGAGGATGATGCTTTATTTAGGGTGATATTGATGGTCAAACAGAACTGGTTTGCATAACATTTCTCCACTTCCTAAGCATGACCTTGGGTTATTTATTCACATTATTTATTTATTCAGTAAGTGTTTATTGAGTCCTGTTACATGCCAAGCATGGTGTGGGGTGATGGAAATTCTCTTGCCCTCACAGCATAACATTGATTATTTTTTTGAGCTTCACTTTCCTAAGGCATAACAATACCTGTCATTCAGAATTGTGTGGTATTTATACACATTGTATGAGTGATAAAATACTGAGTGGGACTTTTCTTATTGTCTCAGAACTGGCAACTTGGCTCCAAAGTTGAGGACAAACAGATGATATTTAGAGGACAAATAGATGATTGAGATTTTTAAAAAATTTTATTTATTTATTTTAATTGAAGTATAGTCAGTTTACGATGTTGTATCAGTTTCTGGTGTACAGCATAATGTTTCAGTCATATATATACATATGTATATTCATTTTCATTATGGGTTACTATAAGATATTGAATATAGTTCCTTGTGCTATACAGAAGAAACTAGTTGTTTATCTATTTTGTATATAGTAGTTAATATCTGGAAATCTCAAATTCCCAATTTATCCCCTCCCACCCCCTTTCCCCAGTAAGATTGTTTACTATGTCTGCAAATCTGTTTCTGTTTTGTAGGTGAGTTCATAGTGACCTTTTTTTTTTTAGATTCCACATATTAGTAGTACCATATGGTATTTTTCTTTCTCTTTCTTACTTCCCTTAGAATGACGATCTCTAGTTCCATCCATGTTGCTGCAAACGGTGTTATTTTATTATGTTTTTATGGCTGAGTATTATTCCATTCTAATAAATATACCACAGCTTTTTATCTAGTCATCTGTTGATGGACATATTTAGGTTGCCTCCATGTCTTGGCTGTTGTAAACAGTGCTGCTATTAACATTGGGGTGCATGTTATCTTTTCGAATTAGAGTTCCCTCTGGATATATGCCCAGGAGTGGGATTGCTGGATCATAAGGTAAGTCTATTTTTAGTTTTTTTAAGGAATCTCCATACTGTTTTCCATAATGGCTGCACCATAATTGGGATTTATTAAGAGGCAAATTCATTCTACTGCCCCATTTATCACTCAGAAGATGTGGGAGGTTGGAGAGGGGGTGAAGCATCAATGGATGCCTCCTCTCCTTGCACACATCCATGCCTCAGGGTTGTCCCCATGTCTTGGGAAGGAGATGGACATTTAAACTGGATGAAGAATGGAAGTGGAGGGTACTGGAGTATATCTTTACAACCTGAAAAGGTCAGAAAACTGGCATCTGCTGGCGATGCCATAAAGTCATGGGAAGGGGAGATTCGATCGAGCATGTTTTAAAGCAGTGATTGAAGAAAAATAAAACTCTATGGAGTTTGAACCCTGCTGAGTTCACAGTGTTCAGTAAACTGCTGACAAATGTGAAGTGCTAAGCAAACAGTCAGTGCTTCACAAATGGAAGAAATCATTACTCCCAGTCACTGAAAGAGAATAAATATTCAGAAAATGTCTGCATGTTTCAATACCAAAGAGCAAATAAGATGCTCAATTTGTATTTTTGGTTTAGGAGAAAGCTTCCTGTGTTCATTATGTCTTCAAGTTTCTGTTTTCCTCATGAAGGGCTTCCCAGAATTTTTTCAGGGCTGTTTTACCACATTCCTTTAGCTGTTTTAGGCATTTGCCCTCTTTGTTATTCTGTAGACCCCCTTGGGGAATTAGAAGATTATAAAGGTCATCTATTCTTACCTCTAATTTAGTTGAAGATAAAATACTACTTAATTATTGGAAAAATACTTCAAGATCTTAAAAAAAAGTACCTTGTGTAAGTGTGCAAACAAAGCAGTTTCTGCAGACTTGCTGCACAAAGAGAAGACAGAGCCCGAACGTAGTGAAGCAGAAGAGGACCCTGGGCTTGGCACAGAGGAGCCAGACAACTCCCAGCAACGTGGTAGCTCATGTGCTCTTCAGCCTCTCTTCTTACCATCCACTTCCTCGACTGTAACATGGGGGTTTTGACAAGGACCACACTAGTAATTGTGACAACTAAGATGAGACGATTATGTGAAGTATGGTAACACAGTGATAGGTACACAGATGATGCTCAAGAAATAGTTTTTTTCCCATTTCCCAGGTTGCAGGGAAGAAGAAAAAATCAGTTGATCAGAGAAGAGAAAGGCACTGAGAAGGGAAGTATAAGAAAAAATACACTGAACATTCATTTGCATTTTCAGCCCACTAAAGCTGCTGGTCATTTATATTGCATTATTAATAAGAGCTCCAGAAAGTCATGATGACACTATCGGAGCTGAATGACATATTGGTATTTTTGTATTTATTTAATAGTGTATTGATATCCTGGTATTAGTACCTGTCGTTTATTTTAAAAAAGTGTTCATAATTCAGAAAAATTTGAAACATCATTGAAACTCACTATTTGGTACGTTTCACCTATGAAATGTATAAAACATGTTCTATGACATTTAATGAAGGTTAAATTTCAAAAATATCAATGTTAAACACATTATCATTCTAATATGAATTAATAGCGAGAGAAAGGCAATAAAATAGTTATATAAAATAAGCACAACATAAAGTGAAGAAAATAAATCCTGAAATTTGAAAATGAATGAAATTATTTGATTGTTTTGAAGGTCTGATCTTAAGAACCATATGTTATCAATGGTGTTATCTTTGATAGTGAACCTAGTTTGGGGGCAAATTTTTCCAGCTGTTAGAAAAGCATTTTCATATTTTATACTAATTGTAGGAATAGTGAAGAGATAAATATAAACTAAATTCAAATATCTTTCTCTGTATCTTTTGTCTACAAATAACCTTATCTCTGTGATAACATAATCTTTGAGAAATTTTTATTTTTATTAAAGATTTTAATATTTTTACAGACAGTGCACGGTAGTTTTTGTTACTAAGGCCCAGCAGTCAGTTTGGAAGATGCCTGGTTCTTAGTTTCTGCTATGAAACAGCCTTTGTTCAAACAAACAAAACAAATCAATCAGACAGATAAGGAGTTTCCACCACTGAACACTGATTGTTTTTGCTATCAACCTGACGGCAGATATCTTGAGGATAAGACTAAATCTTTGTTCTTTATAATTCTCTTTTAGGGAAGCTCCCCTCCTTTATATATTCAGGTTAATGCTAAAAAGAAAAAAAAATACTTCTTTCAAGAAGTAGAGCTAGAGAGAATTTGATCTGGGAAAATCTGTGTTAAGAGTTCCAGTCTTTTTCACTCACTAGCCTTGAGAAATCATAAAGTCTTCCTTTCAATGCTGGGTTTAACTCTCTGGTTATTTCCCAGGACATTAATAATTTAGATTTCAGGCTTTTAAAATACTGAAATAATAGTATCACACCAACAAAAAGATTGGATCTTTGGTGCTTAACAATCAGTAGCATGATATACTGGAGTTCTAGAATGTTGCAATTCAACACTGCAATCACTAATTTAAACCATCTTTCTCAGAACATTTTCCTCCATTAAGCTACTGTAGGGTCTAAATTCCATTTGTAGAGTAAAGTCCACATTGACTTAAGCAGCTGTTTACAGGATATCCTGAACTATATGAATACACCCAAGGTGTCCTCTCTTTAGTCATTAATCACTTGCTGTAAATTGCTCAACAGCCAAGCAGTCAAGAAAGGGACCTGGACCAGGTTGTTTTTCCGAGGCTGAGCAGTGGACAGAGAACTGCATGCAAGGAGGAAGATAATTAGGATTGTAGTGTAGGACCCAGAGAGGGAGGTGCAGCAGATTGGCCCTGGAAAGCCTGGGGCTGCCTCAGGAAGACAAAATGGGCTTGGAAGAAATGCTGATGGAGGCAGGAAAAGGCCAGAAAGTGGACAGACACCTCCTCTCCACCACCATGTTTACATGGGACACACTCAGTTGTTGTAGAATCCTCGCATTGAGTGTGACTAAGAAAAAATGTTCTCTTAAAAAAGCAATAGTCCATACTCTTAACAGCTTAACAGAGGGAGAAAATATACCTAATATTCTTATTGACCCTCTGGAGTTGGTCTTCAACAGGTGCCCTCCTGCCTGGTGTCATTCAAGCCAACAGAACAAGACCCAGTTTGGCTCAGGAGCAAAGGAAAGCTTCATTCTTTGATCAAGGAGTGCGAACGTGTGCTGTAGAGTCCCCTGCTCTTGCAGCAGGCCATGGGCGGGCCTGCCCTGTGTGGATCTCACCAGCCGGGAGGGGGCCGAGTTCCCGCAGGCAGTGTCAGGAGCAGCGTCCCTGAACATGGCCCACTGCTGCCATCTTGAATTACCTGTGTGAGTGGCGCTTTTTCACATGGCCTGGAGCTGAGGTGTCGGCATTCCTCACAAGGAAATTTGATCTGAAGCACCAGGTGAGGGGCCTTTGCAGCAGCCTACTATGAGCAAGTGAAACTAGACGAAGCACAAAAGAGGAAGTTAGATCTTATCACCTAAATTCCATCTTATTATTATTTTCTGGGGATCCCAGTGAGTTTTGCTGGTATGCACAAAAGAAATAAAGAAAAGCACAATTAATATAATTATAGAAAACAGGGGAAAAAATCAAGATTAAATGAAGTTGGATAACAAGTAATAAACTGATTAGTGAAGTATGGGTTTCTCTGGAGGGGATATTTTGAGCCAAATTTTGAGAAGTTGGATCTGATTGGTAAAAAGAAAATGTCTTTCTGTTTGAAGGGAATGCTGTATGCAAAGGTGTTATCTTAGCCTGGGTTCCTGAGAAAAGAGTCTGAGGTTAATATTATGAGCACACGTTTTCTTGTGGAGTACATTCCTGGAGAAGCAACAGTAAGGAAAAAAGGAAGGAAGGCTAGAAACAAATAAAAAATCATGTTATGGAGATTCGGCTATAGGAAATTCAAATGGTTGCAGAACATCTCCAGAGAGACCTCCTGAATTCACAGCATCAGAACAGTCCTCTGGTGGAAAGAATGGTGAACAGTCTGTCTCCTGACTTCTTTCTGTCTCCTGTTTCTCATCTCTGGTTTGCCTGAGCGTTAACTTTCCCATCTTTCCTCCAGGCAACTGGTGAATTCGGACTTCGTCACTGGAGCTGCTGCAGTTCCTGCCGTGGTGGAAGTGATGAAGGCCATGTCAAAGCCTAGCCTTTTCTGCCCAGGATTTCCAGTGGAAGCTGAGATAACCAGTGTCAAATGATGAGTCCTCAAGGTTTTATAATCGTTGGAATGGCATGAGCCAGTCAACCCCTGCTGGCCTGCTCTTAATCAGGAATCAGGGCAAGCAGTGCTTGGGTCGGGGACAGGTGAGGCCATGTGGATCTGAGGAGGCTTGTGAGGTAGGTCTGTTACATAGATGAAAACGGATGGTGAAAAACTAAGCCTGTCTAGAAGGAATAGGACCCAGACAAATGTGTGAATTAGTGTGTTATTTGGGTGACATTTCACGGAGGACCATAAGGTGATTTGAGCGAGTTTGAAACTTTTTCCTATTCTGTTGTCCTTATTGTGGCTGATACTATGGTTTTACTATTCAATCATCTTTTCAAACTCTTTCCTAAATTGTAGCGGCTGGAGAGCTAAAAGTAAGACTTTTCAGACTCCAGTGCATCTAGAGTTCTAGATGTGTTTCAGGTTGTGCCAAAGAGATGTACTTGTGACGAACTTAAATCCAGAAGAGAGGAAAGTGGGAGAGAGGCACAAGATGTAATTGTAGCCCGGTCTGGGTGCGTAGTCAGCAGCCATGATAAGACTTCGTAAGGCTTCCAGGCAAGCCCAGTTGACTGGTGTGGTTTTGGAAATTTCTCCTGGATGCTCAACCAAAAGACTGTTTATTTCTTAATTAATTTGTAAGCCTTTTAATGCTCCATTAAAAAAAAACCCTTTTGCTTAAACCAGCTAGAGGAGACTCTAGTCTGAAGAAATGACCATTGATATACTTACAATATTTCTTAAAGGTTTTCCAGAGAAGTCTTAAGGGAGAAAGAGAGAAAAGATAGATATAGAGAGAGGCAGAGAGAGAGAGACATTAGGGCCAGGGTGGGTAGAGGGGAGATCTTCCTCTTCTTACAGGGCCATTAGTTCCCATCATGAAGGCCCCACCCTCATGACCTAATCTAACCCTAATTTCCTCCAAAAAGTCTCATCTCCAAACATCATCACATCGATGGTTAGAACATCACCACATGTATCTGGGGGGGACACAAATATTCAGTCATAGCACAGACAGAAAACCAGGGAGATTAATTAATTCTGGCTTTTAGATGTTATGTATTTCAGGGTCCATAGTTGTTAAATGTGATTATTGCTTTCAGCACATGTTAATGTAGATACTACCCATGAAGAAACACAGAACCTAGAATGTACCTAAACACATGTGACTTCTCAGTCATCATCAAACATTAAGAGAACTTTAACAAAATGTGTTCCATGTTAGGGAATTTTGTTGCTCAAAGATAAGGAAAGATGCAGTGTTTGTACCATTGTTATGAAAGGAAGGCTTCCTGTCTCCCCTTCACACTCTTGGGGGGTAAATGTTAGGTCACTGCCTCAGCCTGCATGCTCTGCATGACCTTTGATGCCTTTCTAATAGACCTTGATCCATTATTGTGTCTTACTGTGATCTCCTCTCCCCAACCTTGGTCCTGCCTAGCAGGTGACTATAAGGTCATTTTCAAGCAGCTGCACACAAATGACTTGTCCCTAATTTCATACTTTATCTGGAAGGTGTGCTAAAGGTAGTAGACCCAGAAGCATTAAGTAATTGGTTTACATCTAGAGGGCTTCTGGCTAAAATCTTAAAGCCAGACCTATCAAAGTGCTCACAGAACAAAGGGGCTTTCTAAGTCCATTTGAAGGATTCTCTATTCTCAGAAGGCATTTGGGGTTATAATAAAAATGTCTTTTTCCCAATAATATTAAGAGGAAAAATCACTTGTGACTAGTACTGGATTGAGACTGAAGTACATGAAAGAAGTAAATGTGATGTTTGTAATAATTAATGGTTCAAAATGGACTTTATTAACATTCTGGGGAATGCTTTTCTCACAAAAGCGTTCTCACCAAAAGCAAGAATGATTACTTGCAAAAATCTCAACCAAAAGTAAACTTCATACTGATCATGCTGAAATAATTTAAAAGATATGAATTGTTTTCTAGATCCTTGCTATTGAAAATATGGCCCCTGGACCAGGAGCATTAGCATCATCTGGGAAATTGTCATAAATTTGGTCTCAGGCCCTACCCAGACCTACTGAATTAGCCTCTACATTTTAACAATGTTTCCATGTGGTTTGTAAGCACATTAGAATTTTTAAATCCCCATTCTTGATATTGTAAAATTGTTCATAAGCCCACTTGTTGAAATGATTCCATTCAGCATTTAAATATGTTATGGCAAATGTCTATTAAGGGTCAGCAAATAATTATTTGTGTCCCTATCAATGCTATTGTTATGTGCATTATTAATTTAGTTGATTTTTGTTGTTATAAGGAATTCTGCTTTTATCCAATGGGATTTCTTGAGCTTCTGAAAGTGAGAAATAGTCCCTTTTTTTTCTCTTATCTGTTCATGTAGCTAATTGTAATCATCATTTTTTTGTTGTTGTTGTTCCTTCAACCTCCAACGATGTGTTATCATTTAAGGATTCTCAAAAGTCTTCTGACATACCCTTCAGGTTGTTTTGGCTAATCCAATGGCATTTTCTCCATTCTCCCTTGCTTACAGAACTATAGTTTAGTTCAGTGTCATGATGTTTTTAGCCCAAGTCTAAGCAAATCATGATGATCTTATGTCCCTTTATCACATACTGAATTTCCCATCCTCGTTTGTAACTAAGGGTGACTGAGATCTGACCGACAAGGGATAAGCTGGAGGCTTATGAGAAAGCCTTTATTCCCTAATAAAAACAACAGAGATGAAAAGGTAGCCTACCAGTTCCTGTGATTCCTTCTTTTAACCTAACAGACAGGATGTCTGGTGCTGTGAGAGTCATCCTGAAACCACGGAGTGAGGAAAATAAGAACAGAAAGTCAACTTGCCAGGAATGGTAGAGAGAGTAGAACAATGACAAGATTGGATCAGCACTCATGTCCTGGACTCTATTTCTAGGGTGTGGGTTATGGAAAAGCAAAACAAAGCAAAAACCACCCCTGCCTCCAAACCCTATCTATTTAAGATTTTGTTAGTCGGCTTTGTTATTTGCCATTGAAAGGATACCTAACTGGTACAAATAAGGACTTACTATTGTCAGGGAATTACTGTGGAAGTGCAGACGGTTTTGGAATATATGGCTTGTGGCACTATGTAGTCAGGCAGCACAGAGGATTAGAAGACCTGGATTCTGTATTGGCCTCTACACCTCTTAGCTGTGAGAAATTGCAGCCTTGCTTTACAGAAACTTTGGCTCCTCTATTTATAAGGGAAATGTCAACTCCCAGTGCTTTCTTTTCTGACAAAAAAGACAAAAAAACACAAAAAACAAAAAACAAAAAAATGAAAAAGGGAAAATGGATTAAGTTCTGGAGATTTTTCTTTAAGTAAGTACATAAGGTTTTATAAAACTTTCCAGAGAGTCAGATGTTTTCCTTGTTATGGGTTGTTTCCGATAAATTAGGTTTAATTACAGCATCTTCCCAGTAGCATATTTGGAATGAATATAGTGATTTTCTTTCTCTTTAGGGGATGAAAGAGAAAACGAAAGCTTTGAAAAGATTTTCTTTTAAAGCAGCAGTCTTCTTTTCCAAGGTAAACAAAATCTTACGGTGAATCAAGACCAATTTCCTCACATCATATTTTAACTAAAGGATAAAAAAAAATCACATCTAGGTCTGTGAGGAAAATAGGAACATTATAAGAGAAGTATCAAATAGGCATTCCAAGTATTTTATGTTTGCTAGATTTTAGGTAAAATTTGCTGCCGACTTTTCAAATTGTATATATATTTACATATATATGAGTATTTCCATATGTATCCATCTGTATCTGTGTTACACTAATTATAAGTTGTATTTATGTCTCTAACTCTAATCCTAATTTTCTTCCCTTGCATATCTGTATCTCCTCCCTCCAGCAGTGAGAAATCTGGCTCCCACTGTCTGTCATCCATTTACTCAGTTGTTTAATTCCGTAATATGTGCACAGTGGTTTCAGAGTGGAAACCTTTATCAACTAGAGTGTAGTTCTTACGTACTGTTTCTTTTGCCATTAGTCTTACAGACGCTCTTTATTTCCAAAGTCACTTAGGTCAGGCCTTTTCCCTGACCCTCTTCAGTGAGATGGTTTCAATACATTAGTAATACAATTAATTCCTCTGTCATAGTCTGCATTCCATCCTGGGATTCCCCTGACCTTCTAAATTTTTAAAATTTGCATACTTAAGATTCACACTTTGTGCTGTAAAGTTCTGTGGTCTTTGAGAAATGCATCGTGTCACAGGTCTGCCATTACAGTATCATACAAAGTAGTTTCACTGCCCTAAGATATCCTGTGCCTCACTTACTCAACTCTCCCTGCCCTCAACCCCCAAAATCCCTGGCCATCGCTGATCTGTTTAACGTTTCTAAAGTTTTACCTTTTCCAGATGTCATATAAATAGAATAAAATAGTATGCTGACTTTACAAACTGACTTATTTCTCTTAGTGATACGCATTTGAGTCATCCATGTCTTTTCATTCATGTCTTAAGAGCTCATTTCTTTTTATTGCTGAGTAGTATTTCATCTTATGAATGCATCACAGTTTATCTGTTCATCTACTGAAGAACATTTTGGCTGCTTCCAGTTTTTGGCAATCATCAATAAAGCTGCTGTAAACATTCACAAGCAGGTTTGTGTGTAAACATAGATTCTAAATCAATTGATTTAATACCTAGAAGCATGATTGCCGCACCAGCTGGACCATATGGAAAGATTAAGTTTATCTTTGTAAGAAATTGCCATCTGTCTTCCAAAGTGGCTGTACCATGAGAGTTCCTGTTGCTCCACATCGTGGCCAGCATGTAGTATTGTCAGTGTTCTGGATTTTAGCCATTCTAATGGGTAAATAGTGGTATCTTGTTGTTTTAAACTACATTTCCCTAATGACAAATCATGTCAAGCACTTTTTCATACACTTGTTTACTATTTGTGTATCTTCCTTGGTGAAGTGTCTATTCAGATCTTTTGCCCATTTTGAATGTGTTTGTTTCCTAATTTTTGAGTTTTAAGGGTAGTTTGAATACAAGTCCTTTAACAAATGTGTGTTTTGCAAACATATTCACCCAGTCTGTGGCTTGTCTTTTCATTCTTTTATCAATGTCTTGCATAGAGCTGAAGTTTTAATTCTAACAAAGTCCCACTTTTCAATTTTTTTCCTTCACGGATTATACTTTTGGTATATTTAAAAACTCATCATCAAATCGAGGCCACATAGATTTTCTTCTGTTTTCCTTTAGATGGTTTATAGTTTTGTGTTTTACGTTTAGTTCTATGATCTACTTTGAATTAATTTTTGTGTAAGATGTAAAATCTGTCTTAGTTATTTTTTCTCTTTTTTGCATATCAATGTCTAATTATTCCAGCATGACTTGTTGAAAGAACTATTCTTTCTCCATGAAATTGCTTTTGCACATTTGTCAAAAATCAGTTAACTGTATTTGTTTGGTACTGTTTTGGGGGGCTCTCTCTTCTGATCCTTTGATACATATGTCTTTGCTTTTACCAATACTACACTATCTTATTTACTGTAGATTTAGTCTTCAGAGTTTTTAAATCAAGTAGTATAAGTCCTTCAACTTTGTTCTCTTTTAATCAATTAATGATAGCACAATCTTTCTTTAGCTTATTGGTACGGGGGACTACATCGATTGATTTTCAGTTGTTACACCAGCTTCACATAGCTGGAGTGTATCTCACTTGGCTATGGTATATATATAGTTCTTTTTATACATGACTTAATCCAATTTGGTAATATTTTATTGGTGATCTTTGCATTTATATTCATGAGAGTTATTAACCTGTTTTCTTTTTTCACAATGACTTGATCTGGTTTTGGTTTTTGGGAAATGAATTAGAAAGTATTCCCTCGTCTATCTGCTGGAAGAGGTTTTTTGACAACAGATATTATTTCCTCCTTAAACGTTTGGTGAAATGCACTAGTAGAGTCATCTGCACTTGGTGCCTTTTTTTTTGGAAGGTTATTAATTAGCAATTCAATTTCTTTAATGGATATAGGGATGGTTATCTAGTCTTCCTTGTCTGAGTTTGGTAATTTGTGTCTTTCAAGGAATTACTCAATTTCATCTAAGTTAATCAAATTTGAGGGCATATGTTGACCCCTTCTTGTTTTTTATTTAAGAAACATTTGGACTTATGCGACACTATACCAGAGTAGGGGGAAGATGGAAAAATTGAAGTTTTTGAGGTAGAAATAGCCAAATCCTTGACCAGATACAATAGAGGTGTCAATTCCTTGAGTGACCCAGGTGTTGGTACACAGGAAATTGACATGAGATCACTAGCAAAGATCTCCAGGTTCAAGTTTTGCACAGCAGGCACAGATCTCTTCTGTCCCCTCTCTCTCCTTTACAGTCATCAGTCAGGTGTGGAAAGGAGATAAAATAGCTCTTATCTTGTAATCTAAAGGCCAAAGGACCATAGTTGACTATTTTGGACTGTGAAAACTCCTAAATCATTGTGCAACCCTGAAGGGAGAGGAACTCATAATGTTTTGGGTTAGAGGTTTGACATGGTATAGAGACTCAGAGAAAGTTAAATTTGACCTGGAAAAATAGAAGAATGTTATACTTCTTGAATTCTTTATGCTGTTAAGTGTGTATATACTATACATTGATCAAGGTATAATTCTATTTTTATTTGTGTTATTTTAAACTTTATCTGTCTTCACCCAATAGACTCTAAGACCTATAGACACCATGCCTGTTTTGATTACTATTCTATCTCCAGAACTTAGTTTTGTGTCTGGCACAAGACAGACATTTAACGAATGTCAATTAAATTTATTTATAAATAATGAATGGTGACTTCAGTGTCCAGTGGACTTTGTTTCAATGGCTTGTTCACAAAGACCCCAAACTTTATTGTCTCTTTTTGTTTTCATCTTACCTACTGGACCAATCCACAGCCATAGTGTAACCCTCCATGGTTTCTCTGCCTGCATGTAGACGGGGATCAGAAAACAGCAGACTGGTCACAAAGAAAGGTTTTTACATTTCTAAAGAGTTGTTAAAAAGCCAAGAAAAATATCTGAAAGAGACCATATGTGGTTCACAAAGCCTAAAATGTTTGCTATCTGGACCTTGAAAGGGAAAAAAAAAAGTTTGCTGACTCCTCATCCAGATATTGAGTACGTTATGGGAAAAACCAAACAACTGAGCAGGTTAGTCAACAGCTCTCTCTCCCCACTGAACCTATGATATGTTCTTTTACAGCTTATCCTCCTACTCTCTACTTTCAAAGCTATTTTCTGTCCTCTAACCTCTGATTACTTCACCTTTCCCTTTCTCTACAACCAAAACCATGATCTATCTACAACTCACATGGTTTCCTCTTGTAATAGAGGACGTGTTTCTCCCCCTGGCCGGTAAAAATCTGACTCATCATTTCCTGCCACAGTGGACATACGCTTTTGGTTTGCTACCATCCTCTCCTTCAGGGAAACATCACTACCCATTTCATGTTATCCTTCTCAGAGTATGTAGTTCAACTTGGTCCAGTTATCACCACAGCCCACACGTGGGGAGGCACATGACGCAGCCTTGGATGCTTACGGTATTTCACCCCCATGTTTACATTCGTTGATTCCAAAAAAGGCAAAGCTGGGCCTGGAGACATTCCAAGAGTTGGCTTGGAATAAGACCCTTGCATGGAGTTCATTTCAGAAAAACTGTTACCTACCTCCCACCCAGTGTCGTTTGAGCCAATAGACGGAGACCAAGTTCAGTTCAGAAACAAAATAAGCTTTATTCTTCGATGAGAGAATGGAGAGGTGCGAGCCAGACCGCTGAAGCACAGGCTTCACCGCTGAGCGCGCAGGCGGAGGGTGGGCTGCTTTGTAGGGAAATCCCCCAGCGGGGGAGGGGCAGCCCTGGCGGGGCGGGCGCAGCCCAGCTGCTCCGGCGCCCGTGGCCGCGCGAGCCCAGCGTCTCTGCACACGGCCCGCCGCCATCTTGAGTGCAGCGTCGGGCGCCGCTTCTGCTCCGGACCTGCTGAGCTGAGGTGAAACGTGTAGCCATTTCGCACTAGGAACTCTGGTCTGAAGTGACCAGTGTGAGGCCTCTGTACCCGGCACCCTATGAGCAAGGGAGACTGGACTAAGCGCTAAGGAAAAAAGAAAGGTCAGACTTCATTTTATTACGCAGGTTCTGTTTTTATTTGCCGCTGACAAAACTTGACTCTTATCTCCCCGAGAAACACTTATTTACCTTCCTAAGGGTAAGAACGAAGTATGCTTCCTTTTCTTTCCCAAAGGAGAGTTTGTGCACATTAGGGAGCAAAGTTTTTTCCCGCTATCTCACAAAAGGAAGTGGGGGGTGGGGGGAGCTGCGGAGGCGGCTGTCCATCTTCTGTATAAACTCTCAGATTCTTTGGGGGTTCGTCACCTAAAATACAGATCCCAGTAAGTATCAGGTGACATCTGGCTCTCAGTGAATCACCTTAGAAGGGGGAAAGATTGGGGCCCGGGTTGCTGATACGGTTTTTATTATAAGTATAAATGGTTTGTTCCTGCCCCAGAAATCTTGTATCTAACTCAGGATAATATGAATAATTTTAGATATTAATACATATCAATATTTACAAACCTAATTTCTATGTTCACATAGTGTCCTTGGGCATAGGAACCGTTGTGATTCATTATGGTCTTCCTTGTGTGTGGCAGCTTGTGGTGCTTAAGAAATCTCTGTTGATTGCTTGTTGAATAATTATGTGAATTGCTTCAATGCCTGAAGAATGGCTAAATGTCATTCAGTAGAAAGTGCGAACTGGTCTAACAAGTCAAAGCTTCTGATGGCTCTGCAAGTAGGTGGGGACTTCTGTAGAAGTGCAGGGGCATGCAGCTGGTAGGTTAGGCTCCACGGATGAGGTCAGTGGCAGTGTCCCTTTGCCTTGTTGATTAGTTGTGGGTTACACATTTGCATGACCTCAGATATTACTCTGACTTGTTGCTGTCTTCAGTGAATTCTCTAAAGAAGGTCTGTTTGTTCAGAGCAAGGTATCTGAAGTGTACAGTGCCTTGAATCGAATCCCAGCTCTGTCCCTTGATAGGGACAACTTAACTGCACTGCCTTGTGGCTCAGTTTCCTATCTGTAAAATGGGTAGGTTAATAACATCACAGATGTTGTGAGAATAAAAATAACCCATTTATGCAAAGGAGTTAGTAATATAGTAATACAGTGGGTTGTTGTGAGGGGAAAAATGAATGAATTAATGTAAAACCCTTAGAAAAATACCTGCTGCATAATAAGTTCTATAGAATTTTCTTTTTGGCCTACTTAATGTTCAATTTTAAAAGGGCCAGAGAGAGAAGAAAGAAGTATAGTGAAAGCAATTTCTATTCTAACGCATGAAATAAGTATTTTTGGCCAATGGAAATAATAGTTAAAAAATCAATACTATAACCCATAGATTATCTTTGGTTAAGAAACCATTTCTTCAAGTTCAGTGGCAAGTTTTATCCTTAAAATAATTTCCCCCAAATTAGTGCATGGTAAGTAAAATCCTGCCTGGAACTATCTGGATTAGGTACAAATAAGAGTCACGTCTGACTCTGTGCAGAATGCAGGATATATTTTCAGATACAAAGAACTATCGTCAGACATTCTAAAAAAAAAAAAAGTAAGAAACATTTTCTACTTTCCAACAAGCCAGAGAGCTGTTTTCAAAGGCCTTTTAAAACTGTGTTTTGTGCTAGTTTTTGTTACCATTTTAAGTTCTGCTTTCACAGGATGAAATATGATATTTAGAAGGGGAAAGAGGCTGCCTAGGGAACAACTGAAGCCTAATTGTTATTTTTATGGTTTAAGTGTATTTCATCCATTCAACAAATAGTTATTGAGAGTGTGCTTTGGGCAAAGTGCTGCGTGTTTACTTACAATGTGCAGTGAGCCAGCTTCTCCTCAGTATTCAGGGAACTGCAGCCCTGCGCTTTCAAAGGGACCTAAAAGAGTTAATAGGTCTCGTTAGCTAATGCATGGCACTACCATCTACCCAGTTTTTGGTTGGCCAGCATTACCAAAGAGGTCAAAGTCTGAGTTTGATCCCTGCCTGAACAGATTTCAGCTTTACTCAGCAATTTCAGGTCAACAGAATTCTAATGCCAGGGTCATAATCGGGCAATAGGGTATATTGGAGCAAAGTTGTTTTACTATCACTGATATTGCATGCACACACTATGACTTCGTATCTGAAGAACAGTCTTTTATTTCTATTGCTGTCAACTCATTTGTATAGAAACTTAATATAAGGATCCAGTATCTAATACTTAAATAACATTATTGATAAAACAGCTGTTATCTGTATAAATTTTATTATGTGCCAAGGATCGTTATAAATGCTTTACATTTTACTTTATTTGAGTTCTTTTTTTCTCTTCCAGTTTTATTGAGATGTAATTGACATGTAACACTGTGTAAGTTTAAGGTGTATAACACCATGATTTGACTTACACACATTATGGAAAAAGTACCACAATAAGTTTAGTGAACATCCATCATCTCATATAGATACAGAATTAAAGAAATAGAAAAAAATGCTTTTGCTTGTTATAAGAATAGATTCAAAGACTTTAGAATTAGAAGTGTCTTCCTTAAATAATTAGAATTCATTTAGTTATTTCATATAGAAGAGAAAATTGGGACTCAAATCAAATAGGTGAAGTGGGTTGCTTAAGAATATGGTTGAAGGTTTTCATTTTTGTTTTCAAATTTTTATTTTGTTTTCAGGTTACAAATTTGTAATTGCAAACATATTTTGTTTTTCTTAAAATTTAAAAGAAAAAGAGTGAGTTAGGGTCAGTTTTACCAAATATCAAACTATATTTTTGGGGTTATAAACTCATTAAAGGGGATAGTTTTAATGGAATTGATTAAAAAAACTCAAGACTTCGCCATCCGATAGGCTATTTGTCTTATACATTAAAGCATCTTTTTACATTTATGGAAATAGTATGCTTATAAATAATTCCTGGCTATATTGCATTATTTGACAACCAATCCTGTGTTATTTTCATTACATTGGATGGTAGCAGTAAACGTGAAATTGATGTCTCATAATTTGTTGATAAACTTTATTATTTTGTTGCTGGATTTATCACTAAGACAGCTCACATCATTTTCACATCATTTAATAGATTCAAAATGTTTTCAAGGCTACTGACATTTCTGCTGGTTTTGAGTGGCTTTTAATGTTTATTTGCCCTTCAGTAGGAACTGAAAAATCTCATTAAAAGGTAGTTACTCATTTCCATTAAAGAGCCATAAAATATGGGTGGTGATATATTTTCATCTGAGTCTAAGGTGAACAAGAAGGAAGAATACTAATAAAGTCTGAAACACTGACCCATTTGCTTAAGAAATTTCCTTAGTAGTAATAGCTTTTAACCACTATTTACTTTCTTTCGAAATATGTGATCATTTTTAATGGCCAGAGGCCACCAAGGGAGAGTGACATTAAACAAGATCAGTTGCAATTTGTCTCACTTGGAAAGGTATTCCAGAGTTTCTGCAACGTTGTAAAACTTTTTGAATACTATTTAAAGCATAAAATCTTATAAAATTTGATGTACACCTATTTAACGTGGTTGCAATCTGCCGTTAAATGCAGGGATGCTGTTCTAAAGGCAGAGGTTTATTTATGTGTTTATTCATATATATATAAATATGTCCAGGAAGTGTTTATTGAGTGCCTAAGTAACTGTGATGTAAGGTAAAAAATGAAAAATCCCCCCGAAAGATGTATGAATAGAATGCTAATGGAGATAGAAACCTACTGCTGTAAGTGTTCATGGCCAAGGGCTTAGGGGACTTCTTACATAAACTCCTGTGAAATTATGAAAGTTCCTCTTTATTTTCACTAAGACAGACCACAGTGACCTGGAGACCCCATACACATTTGCAGTGTTGGTACGCATGTAAGTATAAGTGGGGTACCTGAAAGTTTAGTACGAGAATGAAGAAATTATAAGGTCACCATTCAGCCTACTAGCTCACAATGATTTCTCTTTGCATATGTCGTTGTTAACAGCAAATACTCTTACCATTTCCAGCCAAATTTGAAATTTGGGAGAAATGCTATAGTTTTGATGAAAATTCAGGCCACTTTGTTGAACTTGAAAATTGTGTTCCTTTTGGGGTGCACACATTGATTTGAGTCAGAAAGGTGTATGTGTGCATAAATGGAGAATTGTGGGACTTTCAGTCTTGCAGTTTTTATGGAGATGTGAATGAACTTTCTGACCCGGGGGGCGCATATGCTAACTCCATTCTTCCAAAGCAGCATAATCCAAGGAAACTGTATGGATAAAGCCCGTGTGTGTACATATTTGCATTTGTGTGTGTGCAGTTGCTCACGCGCTTCCTTAGACACTGTGCAGTGCTTCCTTGACAGAAGAAATGAAGGCAGTCAAGTGAAGGAGAGCGTCATTGATAAAGGGCTTTAGTGTAGGTTCTTAAGGATCTAATGCCTTAGGTTGATGGCATTTTTTTTTATTAAATATGATTATTCTGACAAGCCTTTAAAATTTAGTTATAATAAACTCATTCTACTAATTTTGTTTTAGTCTAATTGTTTCTTTATTTTTTTTTTCCTTCCCTTCCTCCCTTTCCTCTCCTCCCTCTTGCTCTTAGTTTGTTTTATTTGCACAGCTTTTCAGTAAGGGCATTATGGAGATGGTCAGAGAATGTTGTTTAAAGATAAAGTAGGGTCAAATTTGTAAAGAAAGGTAGTGGGAAGATAGCAAAGATAAAACATGTCACCTCTTAATTTAGTACTTTCTATACTATTTCTACCTTATTATTATTTAGATATTTAATCCAGAAATTGTTTGGGAATCTATATTATCTAGGTAATTATCTTGGTACTCCACTGTATTTGTTATGTAAGTACAGTCACTAAGTGAAACTTTAAAGTAAATTTACCAAAAAAAAAAAAGTAGAGAATACGTGCATTGCAAAAATGATTATCCAATATATTTATGTAGATAAACACACTTTGTACTATGTATCATTGGGGTATAACTAAGAAAGCAAAGGGCATTCAGAAGTTTGTGGAATGCTATAAACTATCTTTAAAAATTAAGATTTTAAGTTTTTTTTAAAAGACTATACCCAATATGTAGATAAATTAGACTTGAATGTAAAGTGAGGAAAAATTTACCTCAAATTCTTCTTTGTACTTTCCATTAATTTGAGAAAAGAACTTTAAGACTACATCTACAATAATAATAAAAATATTTATTATAAAAATTATCACATTTCTCTATACATAGCCTAGAGACAAAAACACAGTTTATACATTAATAATTTATGTGGGCCTGAACATTCAGTTTCCATCCACTAGAATCTTAAAGCAGTTCCATAAATTTCACAAATACCAACGTGGGCTGTCTATTTTATAGAACTCCATTTACACAGCTGACGTTCATAAGTTACCAATATTTCTTTTCTCTAGTGATTTAAAGATAGTTCACAGTGTTTGGGTTAATTATTAATAAAATCTTTGGTAAATGTAAGTATTTACATTCTAATATGTTTAAATTTCAGTAAAAACCTGAAAAGTCAAATAACACATTGCAAATAGTTTTGAGTAATCAGTAAGGGCACGAGCCAGAGTCCAAAGATCAAGAAACGTCACTACTGGGATGTCTGATGACAAAATCTAAAATCCACAACAAATACTTTGAGGCTTCTGTGGCCACTACCAGAAGCCTCACAACAATAGGCCATGAGAAAATTAAATGCAAATGTTAAATTCAACATATAGACAGTACTGATTATTTTACAAAGTGGAAAATGCTAGTTTTTTCTATAACCTGACTTAAAACATCAACTTGACACAGAAGAGTTTATTATCTCATCAAAGCTCATTATCTTGCAAGAGTGAGAGAACCATTTAAAGAAGCCATACTGTTTTGAAAGACACCAGTTCGTCCTCTTGCCAATAATTTATCCATGAAAATATGGATCATTTCTTGAAATAATTGAGGAATACAGCAAGATGCTTGCCTTTTGCTTCCCTCCCTCCTTCCTTCACTTCCTTTCCTTCCTTCCTTCTGTCCCTTTTTCATTCCTTCTCTTAGAGGAATGTGCTGGACTGCCCATCAACCTGCATATTATACCTGAACTCCCAAAAGTTCCATGTGCATTACAGCTTTCATGCATTAGCTCTCAATCTCAATGATTCACAAATGAACGCATTGCTGGCATGAAAACCTCTTACTCCCAGGCTATTTATTAAAAATACTCTTAAGAAGTGTTTAAATTCTGATGTTCTTGAGCCATTTGTTAATTATAAATTTTTAACAGACATATCAATGGTGGAGTGTAGAGAACATAATTAAATACATCAAAAATACATCTCTTTAAGCCTAGAAAATAGATGCCTTTCTTTGGATTATCACCACTGCAAAGTAGAGAACAGCCTGTTCTACAGAGTTAGGTTCTGAATGCATCATTTCTTTCCCTAACACTGGTTTTCCCAATCTACTTCTGTTTCATTTATAGTCAAAGCAAGGTGAGCGATTTGCTATTACTTTGGCAATTCTTCTCTTCCTCCAACAGCCAACATCCTGAATTCAGTGCATATTTAAAAATTCAACCAAGACTAGGCACCTGGCAATAAGTGTTCACTGATAATGCGAGGTATGAGCACGAAAAGCAGCATCATAAAGGCACTGTATCAGAAGGGGCTTTCTTCTGAGTTTTTACATATGCCCAATGCCTCGGCTGACACTTTGAGTAAAATGTGTTGACTCATTCCTTCTCATTCAAAGTGAATGTTATTTCAGTCACCAGCTTTTCATCTCTAGAGTGCATAGGTATATATGAAATATGTGCTTATTACATTTCTAGTCATATAGTATAAACTAAGCCCTAATCCTTCGAGTGGCAGGAAAGTACTGGCATACTGACACTTGATAATCCATAAATACCAAAATCTTACGACATCACCAAAGGCCTAAAATGTCAGTCTGTTGAAACTTCTAGTCAATGTCTTCGCTTCTCACTCTTTCCCATCCTTGTTGATAAAGAGTTGGAGAACTGACGCTTGTTTGTTTCTTTTCAGGATTTGATATAAACTCATGTGTTATTCTAAGTTAACAGAATAAATAGCTGGCCAGCCATTAACTCCTGTAGTCCTGCACTACGCTCGCCTGGGTCACAGAATTGAGCTGTGTGCCTCTTTGCACTGGTGTTCTGATCAAGGAGGTTTTGTTGCTGTTTGTTTTTGAGGAAACAAGAGTTCACATGCAAACATTCAGGAAACAGCACTGGCACAGACCCACTTTGATCCCTTAGAGTGTCCTGAGGGTCCCTCTTCACACAGCACTTTTTCCTTCGCCAGGTTCTTTGGTTCCTTGCTTGGGATACACCAGTCGTCAGCCTCACTGCTTGTCTGATAATGTTTGAAGGCTGATTTGTTAAAGACTGGGAGTTTTTCAACAGATTCAGAAGATAAAGCCTGAAAGAAGAGGGGAGAAATATCAAACCAAAGAAATTATTCATGGTATAACTTGTACTTGAAGTGATTATTCAAAATAAATTCAGAGATAAGTATTCAAACACTCAAACAGTCTTTTAGTTGACTTAGTAGTAAAAGCACCCCAGAACCCACAGTGTACTAAGCATCATAAAAGGAAGCTGAAAAATAAATATTATCTGCACCTCATAGGGGTTGAAGTAGTGTGTGTGTGTGTGTGTATATATATATATATATATATATATATATATATATATATATATATAAATTATAAATCTATTTGTATTCAATATTCGCACTCTTCCCTTGTTTGGATATTGCTGATGTCATGGAATTGAATAGCAACAGGCAAGTACGTTTTCCAGGAAAACCTTTGTGTGTGTGAGAGTCCTAACCTGATACTATTGATCTATTAAACTCTGATATTATAAGTCTGTAATATATTAGGATTTTTCAATACTTTGAAGACATTTTTTGCTTATTTAACAAAATGAATACATTCACTATTTCAGGTGTTCTAAGTTCAGGTGGCAAATAATTCTCTTGCACAAAATGGGACCCTGGAAGCTTAATGTTTTAGTTGCTAATAACTGTAAATATATTTTCAGTTGAAATACTTGGCAAATGATTAACAGAATCAGGACAGTGACCTTAGCAAATAAATTGAGGCTTTATCAGAAATGGAAAAAACGTGTACCAAGTTTTAAAGTTTAAACTGGAAATGCCAGGCATCCCACTGACAGCGTCTGAGCAGTCAGCTTTCCTCCCCCTGGATTTTTAAAAAGGTCAGCTTAAGGTCTTGAGTATCTTGATTTAAGTTGTTTTCTAGGCTGAAATATTATTAGCATATATGTATTTCTCACAAGTCTAGGTAAAACAGAAGTACAGCTATTCTCACAGATGCCTATAGGAGTTGCCTTAAAAAATTCATATGAGCACCTCTTCACTCAGAAACCAATGTGTTTATGGGAAACAATTTTGCTTCACTGAGACAGGTAGCCTGGCCCCACTTCCTTTTTGATACATTACCGTATTAAGTATTAAATAGTATACCTACACCTGCCAAACAGAAAAAAGAATGACTTGTGGTTATTATTTGTGTTAACTCAGTTTGGGGTATTCACTGTGGACCACAGAACTCAGGGCTGTAAAAGAAGCAATCTTTTAAAAAATGTGATTTTTTTTTTCTATTGGATTTAAAGGATACCTTTAAGTAGATGATAGCATCCGTTCCATATCCTGGCAAAGAGTAGAGATTTAGATCTCCTTGGAAGTACTTGGCATAGAGACGAGAAATCGGCAAGCCGTAACCGAAACCAGCCTAGAAGGGGAAGATCAGTTATTGACAAAGAGGTGGACGTGATCTCTGGAATACAAAATGTGGGGAGGAGCTGTTATCCTCCCAGATACGGATGTCCTGGAATTTGGGCAAATGTCTTTTGCTTCCAGTCAGAGACCCCTTGTAGAACTGTTTCACTGTTTTTAGCTTGCTTTATCATTCTCATATCCCCCATGCCCTATTTAACTAAATTGATTAACTTGCCTAAACACTTCCTTGCAGTCCTTGCCCTACATTTATAACTAGGTGGTCTGGGATGAGCTTGGCCATATATAACTGGTCTTACCAAAGGAGCATTCCGGGAATTATCCACCGTAGGCGTTGGTGCAGTGGAGTACGTGTAACTAAAGAGACGGTCAATAATCCTCAGGGGAACACCACCTCCTCTGTCTGAAATCTTAAACAAACAAACAAGTCATCAGAGCTACACATTAAAAACAGTGTGCATTTGTCTATGTAAAAATGTCTTTCCTTCATTTAAAAGTCACCTGGCGTACATGACTTTGATCTATTGCTCAAAGCAGTTGGCTTTATTATTACTGACTCCTTTTTAATTCTCTCAAAAAAGACTCAAGAAAAACAGAGAATAGTTACCTTAATTGTAAGATCTTCTTTTCCCAAGACAACAGTCACCTCCACTGGTGTCAGGGAAGGCCAGTCTTCCTGGTGTTCAACTGTAGCCCTCATTGCATTCTATGGAAAACAAAACCATAAGGAATTCAATGGCAGAAGGATGAGGGACAATAAATAACTGTTCTTTTACATTTAAAATAAAGGCAGCACAGAGGGTAATTCAAAGTTCTTATTTTTTTAAGTTAGTGGTAAAATAGCTCTGTAAATAGCTATTTATGAATGTGTCATGCAGGATGTATAATGAAAAATATTCATTTACCATGTAATATAGCTCCTGGGAGTAATGTCTAATGGAAAAACAATTCTGCTAGCTGTCAAGTTCTTATTTGTAAGCTTAATTTAAATGTAGAAATTGGTTTTTATAGTCCATTTCCTGGCGCTCTCTTTTCTGTCTTTCCATAACATTTTACATCCAAGCACCAAAGAGTATTACATAACAACTAAACAGTGAATCATTGAACCAATTTATTGGCTTTTATAAAATTTGCTGGGAAAAGGCTGTTACTATTAAAAGGATAGTAAATAATTCTAAATTAAATTTCAATTTGCATTTGATTATCATCTTAACTTTTACCAATGGCGGTAAAATAACTGTATGAGTTGGACCATTCAATTTGAAAGTAAATCAAATCAACAGAAAAGTATCTTTTGTCCTTTAATAGAGAAGAAACTCAAGTTTTCAAACTAGATGAACCTCATACAGATAAAGATTTGGTTTATTTTACCCATTTTCCTCTCTACCCTTCTGGTAGGTTATCTGCTTTCTGGTTTCTATATAATAACAAGTTCTAATCATTAGCTAAAATGAAGTAAAATAGGTCAAATGTTTGTAATACAATCAATGCCTCATTGCACTAATATTAGAATAAGTTAGGAAACAGTAAGTTCTGAGAAGCATTAGAATTAGAGGCAGATTTCACTTCTTTTTTAAGCTTCCTCTTTGCCAGTCCTGGGGACTCTTAGGAAGCATCACAAAGCTTTGAGTGTTTTTCTGTCTTTTGGTTTAAGTGTACAGTTTTAGTTTGGGCTTAGAAGCTGGGATAGGATTTGATTCTTAGTCCCTGGCTATCCCAGACCAGTAACATCCATATCGGCTAAGAGCTTGTTCGAAATGCAAAATCTCAGATCGAGAGTATCAGAATCTCTGGGATAGGCTTTAAAATCTGTATTTTAACAAGCCTTCCAGGTGATTCTAAAGCACCCTAAAGTTTGAGACTCACTTCTGAAACAGTCTTGCTATGGAAAATGTGGACCATAGACCAGAAGCATCACCTGTTAGCTTATTAGCAATTCAGAATCTCAGGCCCCATGCCAGACCCAGTGACTCAGAATTTGAGTTTCAACAAAACCTCCAGGTGGTTCATAGGCACATTAAAATAGCTCACTGAAGGAACTGACTGACTCCTGAGTATATTCTAGACATAGGTCGGGGCCCTACCACCTACAGTAATTCTAGAGCTGAACTTCTGGATTTGGAGTTAGACCAGCCTGTGGGGGTGGAGGTAACAAGGCCTCAGTCACTGAAGCATTCATCCCATGACCTTCCTTAATGAATGCCTGAATGACTACGACTTTGTTGGACACCTGAAGAAATAAGGGGAATAGGGGGCACTGAGACATAGTGAGTCATATTGTGCATTCTCAAATAATGTGTTGATGCTACAGGGAGCTGCATGTACCCTTTTCAAACATTAACTGGAGCTTCCTTCTGTTAGGAGCACAGAAACATGCTTGGGAGAAGATAGTGAGGCTCTTGTTGAGTGGGAATGATAAAGGAAATAAAAATGTAAACAGTGAACTTTAAAAAAAACAAAATTGCAATTACTGTGAAGTTTGTTACCTTGAATAGTTCAAAGAGCATATGATGAAGGTGAGAAGGAACGTATACAATATGAATTGGTTGGCCTGGAAATTTTCCTAGAAAAAAATTAAGCTCATTTAGAATTGGTTAACAGATATTTCATGAAATAAACTTTCATATCTATTTGATTAATATTTTAGATTTAAACAGGATTGGAATACTTCTCATCCTCCTAACTCCAAAATCCTACCCTAGAACCTTCCCTCTTAAAACCGTAAATACAACTGACTTATTTTCAAAATGCTATTATAGTTGCTACCCAGTGCTCTGTGATTAATTTTTGCATTTCTTTACAAATGTATAAAGTCAGGTAAGTGTAAAACAGGAGTGCTGTAAACTAGATTACATGGATTATTTATTTATATGTTCAAAACTTTTGTACTGGACAATTTTCGGAGTTAAAATTATATGCACTTTAAGAAAGAAGAAAAAATAAATTAAGTCTAAAGTATAACATTGAAATTGATGCGATCTAGCTATAGTTTTCATAGTTTTAGTTCATGAGAGTATGACACATCTGATTATTATTGATTTTTATCAACTAAACATTAAATCCATTAGGCTATATATGCTTACATTTCACCAAGAGGCTAACAAAAACCAGAGAAACAAAACCTCATAATACTCTTTGAAAAGAAAAATAAAAGGATTCTTTGGTGTTCCAGGCCTTGGCAAAGTTTGAATCAGAAAACACAAGGTCTGGCATAATTCCCTCTTTATTTTATCAAACAGCTCAAGCAGTTTATCTACAAGTGTTATGCAACAATGCTGTTAATGCTTAGAAATATTTTTCAATCTTTAGTGTACTCCTATTTTTATTTTAGCAGTCAATTACATTTTCCTATCCCCAATCCATCAATTAAGCTACTCTTAATTTAAACAACTTAATTTTAATTCTCATCACCAACATATGTTGTTCCTGTATAACTATTAGTTGAAGAAGATGTTTACTATGAGTTGAAAGGAGAAAGTTATTCCAATTTGAGTATACTGTCTTTCTTTGAGAATGGGATAAGATAAAAATAGTGCCATGCATTTATCATATAATTACTTCAGTCTATGTGGGGAGACCTTATCTTTTTAGGTACCCTAGAGTTAAAGCTATTGAAGAATGCTCTGCATTCAAAACAGTGGTATATATTCATAGTGAAAATTTTTTAAATTTTGGTGAGAACATTTAACATGAGATCTACCTTCTTACATATTTAACTGTACTATATATTATTGTTAACTACAGGAACGGTATTGTATAGCAGATCTCTAGAAGTTACTCATCTTGCATAATTGAAATTTGATACCCACTGAGTATCAGCTCCCCATTTCTCCTTTCCTTCACCTCTAGCAACTATCATTCTACTCTCTGCTTCTATGAGCTTGATTATTTTTGATACCTTATATAATTGCAATCATACAGTATTTCTCCTTCTATGACTGGCTTTCTTCTTATAGTGCAACTTAAAGTATTTTTGTTTTCAGGTCTTATAAGTGACCTCTTTAGGAACATATGTCCACTACTAAGTGGTTCCTCCTATTCTGCCCTCTTATCCCATATAGAAAGTGAGCTATCTTTCTTTGATCTGAGATATTGGAACTTAGCTGCTACTCTAAATTCCAAATTATTTGTTCAAACCATTCTTCTTTATGAATTGTCATTAGCAACTGAATATACTCAAATTGGAACTTTCCAATTGAGATAAAGAGAACCTTGGCTTCAAAAAAAAATGAGTACAAATTCTATGCAAGTTCAGAAGGGAAAAAAGGAGCACAGGATTTACTTTTTACAAGAAGTAATCATCTTGGAAGAACAGTGAATTTACCATAGACTAAGATACATTTAGTTTATAGCTTACCATTCACTTGTGTGAGCTTTAATTCTGGAGATGTCAAATAATACTGATCACAAAGCATCTTTGAACAATCAAAGGCATCTAGAATAGAAGAGTTTTTTAATAAGGATTAAATGAACTTATGTCAAGTAAAGTTTTCAAGTGATCTTCAGTGTGTGCATTACCCTCAATCTAAAATATTCTTTAGAGTACAGGTTTATATACCTTTTGATATTTTATTGAAGAAAAAAAAAGACAGTGTTTAAGTTACAGCTGTAGTTATAGGAATATGTGCACTTCAGAGATCAAATACAATATATGAAAATATGGCAAGTAAGCCACTGATGTTTGGATTTTTTTAGTAATATTATAAATGAATATTTAAACAGCTGACTCTTAAAAGCAAAGGACCTTCATGACAGTAAGTATAAAAACATAAATGGAACACTCCGAATATAAATTCATTCACAGAGCCACCTCAACTGTAGATGTGTCAATCAGATAATAATACATTTTCAATAAGGGAAATGCAGAAATTTAGAAATTACCTTGGACCACTGCTGCCACATCACAGTTTGGATCGATACTTCCAATGTGGGTTGGGTTTCCTGTCTGTAAGTCACTGAATATAAGGACTGTTGAAGAATAAAAACAAAGAATAGTGTTACAGAAATTAGGATAATAATGATTAGAACTACCACTGAGAAAGAATGTGACCCACCGAGTAGTTGAAATATCTAGCTAGAATATGGCTTATATTCTACACCCATCTATCATGACCATGATGAAACTAACTTACTGTGCTGATTCATCAGCATCCGGGTAGAAATACGGTTCATGTAAAATCGATCCAGGAAATACTGAAGATTTTGATTGGTGACTGGGTCAACTGTACAGGCATCTTTGTATTCTAGGATTCCTTGTGCCATTGTAGGAACTACATTATGGTGTCTATTTCGAACTTTGATGAGAGTATCTACAAAACTAAGCCAAACACATATTTATGGTTAGTAGAAGTTCAAATAAGTTGCATTCATTTATATTTCCTAGATTACTTCAAAGAAGGCTAAAGCTTTTCTTAAGTACCCATCTCAACAAGTCAAATGATAAAATATTTGAATGATAAAATAAATTTGAATGATAAAATATTAAGGCTCTCACTACAGATTCTTTGGCTAAATGTTACAGGAGATAGCTTCATAAACAGATTTATTTTGCTTTCAGCTTACATGTAAAAATACCAGCTCTGGGAGTAGTGTGATCATTCTAGTTGTTCATTAAGCCTTCTCTTTAAAAAATAACAATTAAAAGAGTAAGTAATATTTAAGATGGCTCTAGGATGCCATTGTGAAAAAAAAGTTCGAAATTTCTTGTCAGAATTAGAAAAGGTTCTTATTTCTTATTCTTAGAGCTAGAAACTGTCTGTTACTCTGAATGAAATTATTTATTCTCCAGTAATAAAGTGACATGTATTACTACCATGTAACAGTAAATCCTTCTGCAAATCTAACATTAGACTAAATTTATAATAAAAATAGATTTCCTTAAAAAAATTCTCTTACACTATTCATCCTCAGCATTATTTTCAATGTCATAATTATCACTTTAAAAAGAGCAAAAGCCAAAACTTGTCATTTGAAAGGAGTAAGTAAAAGTATTTATCATTTAGGATAATGCTATAAATTATCCTTCAAGTTAGGTCTAAAAAAATCAGATGTCTAGAAATAGTCAAAGTTTTAGATTATTTTTCTAATGCAAAAAACTTACTCTGACAATGCTTTCTGGTCCTCTGGGCTTTTCTCATGGAATTCCACCAACTCCATCAGGCTCTGGATATACCTATAGAATGACAGGTGTGCTTTAAGTTTTAAAATTGAGTAGTCAGTTACAAGTGGCCAAAAATAGAATGCTTTTTTCAAATGGTTTGCAGAGAGAAAATATTATGTTTAAAATTAAAACTTTCCTCCGAGACATCTGGAAAACAGTATATCTTAGAAAAAAGAAAGCTACAATTTTAACTCTCAACTTTCTAACTTAAAATTTATGTTTCTTTAAATATCCCATATCAGTATTCAGTTTTCTGTTTTGTTTGGCAAATGTCTTTATTTTTTTTAATAGCAGAAGCATTTAGAAACAACTTTTACAGAAAGGCTTCATTTTTTTTCCTATAATCATTCATAGATGAGTAGAAGTCTTAGAAGCAGCAGCAAATACTATACATTAAATATATGGTTCAAATTGCAGTTGTTTAATGGGTGTATAATACATGTATTTCTCAAGTCAGTGAACAAAAAGCTGTATAGTCAGTAGGTTAGGGTGAAGCTCTCTGGTGCATATGCGCCTCAGTGCATAACCTGGCTCTGTTCTCTGAAAATCTTCGCCTTTGGGCTATCTCCCCTCTCTAGATCAGTATCCTTATTTGCAAAATAAGATAATAACTGATTCTGAGTTCTGGCTGTGTGCCAGGTACTGTTCTAAGTGATTTTAAAATGGATTACCTCATTTAATTACACTCAAATATCCCTTTGAGGTGTATACTTTATTCTCTTCATAATAGATGGGGGAATTGATGCATAGAGATAGGACACTTGCCAAGGATTCCACAGCTAGCAACAGGCGGAGGCAGGATTTGAACCCAGAGCCTGCTTTGTTATTTGGTTTGTAACTGAGAAAGATTAGGCCCTCCCAAAATAGTCATCATTCGTACCTATTTCTAGGATAGGATTCCTTTTGCAGTATCAAACTCTCTTGTATTGTTTAAAATACAAACTAAAATTATATCTGTGAATTATTTTCCATATTTTCTTCTAGAAATAAAAATTATATTGTGAAAGTATCTACTTCATCTGGGTAAAAATGTCTATTTATAGCTTTATAACTGCGTTTATGATAAATTACCCTAAATGATGGGAAAAAATCTTTACATCTTTCAAAAGTATTTAATGTTCAGACCACCCATTTTCAAATTGTGATGTTAACATATTATAAGAATTCATACTCAGATAACTATCTTAAAAATAGAGACCGTTTCAGAATGGTTCACCACTTACCAGCTTTTCACTAATTGTACTGAAGATGTGTTTACTAATCGATCAGGGAGGATATAAATTTCCTTGAGTATATTGGCTAGCCTCACAGGCAGCTCTTGTCGCAAAAAAGCAAAAGAGGTTCTTTCACATGCATTATCTGAACCTGTAATAAACAACATTTATTTAGTTTTTGGGATAAGAAAGTATGTCTAAATTATATATTTGAAGAGCATTAACAATCCAATATCGAACAGACATATGTTATAAAATTTTATTTCATCCTCAATTGGGTTACTACTTGTAGCTAATTCAGGAGTAAGCATCTTCTACATTGTCTTTGTCTTCTCTCTTTTTTAAAAAGTGACCAAATGTGAGAATTACTGTTTTCTCTTTTTGATGAGGATTCACTTCCCAGAAGTCATAATATCCCGCAGCTCTTAGTATTCATAAAAGAGTGCAGGATTCAGTGAAACCACAAGGTTAAAAAGACATCATTCACAGGGTTCTAGATATGAAATTGGAGTGCGGTAAGGGGTGGGGTGGGAGTCATGATGCTTCTAGTGATAGGTAACATCACATTTAAATCCTTGAAGTTTTCTTTATAAGATTTCTGCAGATAGTTTGTAATATTTTCAGCAGTAATGCAAATATATAGAGAACAATATGGTAAAGAGACAAGCAAATTTGTTAGGAACCCAGAGAGGTGAACCTTGTGGAGTGGTGGAGGGTGGCTAGAGGATAAAACAGCAATTAATTCGAGCCTGCTTTATAATATTAGGAATCTTCTCCAAGAAGTACTATGCTGTGAAGGATAGAGTAAAGTTTCTACTCCATTGTTATAGGGTAACTGAAAGCAAAAGTATTTTGACTGGAAGCAATGGGCAGAAAGAAGAGGAAGGATGAGCTCAAACCATCCAGCATCAGCAGGGGCTGCAAATGGCCTTGCCGGTGGGCATAAACATTCAGAAAGAAGGCAGATCTAAGAAAAGGCATCGAGGTTCCAGGGTTCAGCAGGAAAGCGGACCCCAGTTGCTTTAAGTAATGAGCCCAGCCTTTCCTACATCGGGTCTGAAAGTTAAGGCATCTCCCCAGTCTCTGCGCCCCCGCCCGGGCCCTAGGGCCCTACGTCCTGGCTCACCAAAATCCAGTAGCTGCTTCATGGACAGTGGGGACGGGCTGTAACGCGAGAAATGCTCAACCTCTCGAGGGACCAGGGACCCCGCGCTGCGCATCACGAAGCGTGCCGCCTTCATCTTGATGCCCACCGTTCCTGGCACAAGCTAGGGCTGGCTTGAGGAGTGAAGGCTGCAGGGGGCGGGACCTGGAAGCGTAGAGAGGGCCGGGCGCGTCCTGGCGGGGAGGGCAGGTGTGCTAGTGGGTTCTTGCTCCCAGGCGTGAGCTGAGGTTCCGGAGAGCTTCGCGGTGGAGGAGTCGGGCAGAGAGCAGGAGGAGCAGTAGGTGGCTTGAGACTGAAGTTCGCGTCTTGTCACCAGCGGCAGCCTCCCAAGTTTTTATTTGTTTCTGCGCCGCCCCTCCCCTCCCCCCCGCCACCCCGCCAGTTCCAAAGGGGAGGAGTCACTGGGACTTGGAGAAGCTTCCTGAACTTGGGGCCGCGCCATTCAGTTCAGATAAAGAACTCTGGGCCCCGCCTCCGACGCGGAGACCTGACACCAGTGCTCACGGCTGTGCAGGGTAAGGGGATAGGAGGAAGCCGAAGCGGACGTCAATAGATAAGTGGGCTCAAGACGAGTCACTTGGGGACAGGACGGATAGCGTGGGCTGGGGGCCCGCCCAGACTAGTCCTTGTTTACGAATGAGAGGCTGTCTCAATGTCACGCATTCCAGGCCAAAAACTATTTCCAAGAATCTAGGCTCCGGGATGTCATTGGACCTCGCTCAGAGCAGGGCTTTTACAGTAGCCAGTCACCTGCGTCGAAAAGTATTGGCTGCTTTGTCATTGGGCTGCAAAAAGAATAAACAGCCTCAGGAGTGTTTTCCCCGTGAGTGAATAGCATACGTCGGGAACTGGAAGTTCCTTTTGCTGAGACTTGAGGAGCTGCGCAAAATGCGTTTATTTTTTCTTGTGCCAATAAGAAGACATCAGTTTATTTCCTTCCAGTAATAACATTCTCTCCATTAGGTTTAACTCTTTTCATTAAAAGCAGAATAAAAAAGGGATTAATTTGTCGGTTTGACTCTCTTGCTTTTTCATCCATCAGAGAATTTGGTCCCTCTGTCCTCCTGTGTGACATGTACTTAATCCAAATCTTTGCCTAAGACATTCTGTTCTACCCGTAAAGTTCAGCACAAACTGTGCTGCATGTATCTTTCCTGATTGTCTCTCCCTGCTCCTTCTTGCAGACATGGCTTTTGTCACGTATGACACTATATTGTAGCTATTTATGTTCTTATTTTGTTCCTCTCTGAAACCTCTCCCCTGAAAGAGATCAGGTTTGGGACCATGTCTAATGCACCTTTTTGATTGCTACTCTGCTTTGTTGCTCTCAAGATTAAACAGTTGTGGAAACATGGGGAAAGTTCCAAACTGCATCTCCACTTGGAGATAGGTTTTAATAACAGTCTGTTTTATACCTTTGTATTCTGAATCCTTTATTACATATTTGTATCGTTCACTGAAACAAAAACAACAGTAAAAATGTGTTCAAGAAGCCAGAAGACTAAATAAACCACTACCTGATGAAGCAGGTAAATTTACGGTAAAAATCCCTTCTTTTTCCTTTATTACATCCTAAGAACAGCAGCAAAAGAAAAGCAAGCATTTGCTTTTCTTATCCTGTTTGTGGGATCTGGACTAGGCAAAAATGTATATCATAAAGAATTCTACTGTTTAATCTGTAGAGAAAAGGCAATGGAAATTTAGGAAATTTAATTTAGGAAAGCCTCACCGAGCACTTAGCCTGGCTTACCCAGCACTACTCCCATGTGTGTGGTGGGTTGATTAAAGATTAGGTGAAGTCATATGATGTTCACACAGATGGCTAAGGGCTAAATGTGAACTGAGGTTACCAAACTATTTTGTGCTTGTTACCCCATCCAATAATATTTACCAGGTTACTCTCACAGTGCATTACATTCTCCTAGGTCATTTCTCTATGACAGGAACTGTTGTGACTGGCAACGTTTATGGTAACCGGGCTGGAATAGCCAGGTCAAGCTGTGTACCTAGTTGGTTAAGATGCTATGTATTACTGTGATTAGAATGTGACCTGGAAAGAAAGCTGCACTTTTTTCCTTAGGCTGACCTCAGAACTTGGAGGTGATACAGTTACTACAAAAGTAAAGCAAAGGGAATTATTTGGGAGAAATGGGTATGGACAGATCTGCACATTCATTTAAGTAAAGGTAGACCATGAAAAGACTATTAACTGATTTTGTGCTAATGAGTAGGGAGGAGTACCATAGCTTTCCCCTTGTCCACAGTGCTGAACACAGCCTCCCTACTTGAGACACCAGATTCCTGCAATTTTCAGGAGCACATTTACCTAGCATCAAATGAATTCTATCCAACCTAGAAAAATCTAATAACATAGGGCCACTGGTAGAGCTTCAAGAATGCAAGTCACATTTTTGCCAAAGGACTGGGCATGTTCAATTTAACAAAATGCAATAAGGTCCTGAAGAAATGCCAATTCAACTTTTCCACCATGAGGAGCATATTCCAAGGAAGCAATGAAATATATACATAACAGGAACTTCAAAAGCCATGATGGAAAGATGAATAGATTTGACTACTGAATATTAAAAAAAAATAAACAGCAGACTTGGAGAATATATTTTCAAATGATTATTTAAGAAATGGCTATTTCAACAAGAAACAAAATAGCCAGGATCTGTTTCCTCATGGAGATTATAGACTTGTGGGGAAACAGGCATTACAAAAGCAATTGGACAACAAGGGCTATAAAGAAAATTCATATGAAGATATAATGAGGCTGGAACTACCTTAGATTTTTGTGGACAAGGAAGGTCTTTCCAAGAAAGCAACAATTATAGGAGATGGTGCAGCCTTCCATTGGGATGTGAGAAGGGAATATTGGTGAAAACATATTGGTGAAGAGATTGGGGAAAGCAGGCCTGAATCGCTATTTGGTCTCTGATATTTCTTATAATCAGTGATTTTAGATGATAACTAGGTGCCAGTAGCTGAAGGAGAAGCCTTGGTGGGTGCAAAAACATTTTTCTCAAGTACCTCAGACTGATAGTGGGTAATGGAAAACAGTGGTCATTTAAAAAAAAATAGGACTTTAATCCTCAGAGCAAAAGAAGTTGCAATTAATGCATTAACAGTTCATAAAAGATAATTGACCAGTGTGTCATGTTGGTGGTGATAGTAATGTTGCTGGACAGTGATGATGCTAACACTGCTCAGAGGTGTTTGGAGAAGAGCTATGTTGAAGATCAGGGACTACTTTCTTTGAGGACTGGCTTTTGGAATGGTCTTAGAAGGATGAGGAATATTTTGATAAATTGTTGGTTGACAATGGGGAAGGATGTCTAAGCCTGAGCAAAAGCACAGCTGGGGATATGGCAGAGAAATAATAACTAATTTAGTCTGGTTGATGTTTAGAGTACCCAAAGGGAGGAGGAAATGGAAGATTGGGTTCTATACCATGAAAGCCTTAAATGCTGGTATGAGGACTTTGAGATTTCTGGAGTAGGCAATACAGAATTGCTGAAGCTTTTTATTCAGGGAGCAATGTGCTTCCTGCTCAAATTTGTTGGCAGTTAAACAATTCAAAGCAACTAAACTTCAATGAACACCCATTGTGTACCAGGCACGATAGGTGCTGGGGTCATATAGATGAAAAAGGCATAATCTCTGTCGTCAAGGATGGGAGAAAAACATGTATGTAATTGAAAGAAAAATAGTGTGATGCATATAAGGTACATGTTGGGGTCGAGGGAGGGCAAGCCATCAGCAAAGACTTCCTTGGCATGTCTGAGTTATAAAGGTAGAATAGAAGTTCCTAGGCAGGTGTTGGGGCAGTGGAGAGAGGAAATAAAGAGAGTCATTTTGTTGGTAAAATCTCTAGCTTTTGCCAAATCGAAGAAGGAAGAATTAAAAAAAACAGTTCTCTGATGTTGTAAGCCTGTGCTACTGGGAGGGGATGACTTCATTAATAGAAGCAAGAAGACAAAAAGGGTCAGGAGGAGAGAATAGGTTGACTGAGGAGGGGGGAACACAAATAATAAGTTTGTTTGGGAATACTCTGAGTTAATGAGAAACTGTTGGGGAAACAGTCAAGGCTGTAATTACTGGTGAAGGGAAGATGAGAATTCAAAGGCTATTAAGCCATTGCTGGGAAGTGAAGATAGATGAGTAAGAGTCTCTCTCCAGTTTCTTCACAAAAGGCTCCCCTCTTCTATTAGGCAGCAGCTATGTCTCACTTTTTCCCTATGCACAGTACTTCCTTCTGGAGCAGTCTCTGGTTTCATTCTTGGCCTCCCTACACTTATCAAGGTCAAAATCCTTCCCTTTGTGAAAGCAACACCAAAAGAGTTCATTCTTTTTTTGCATCTGTAGCTCCAAAGTTATCAGAAAAAAGCAAGTGAATCCTGAAGCTAACATATACTACTTTTTGTGGGAAAACAAGAAGTTTTGCCTCAGCTCTAAATACAGGCTTAGCTTTCATTTCCCCCTAGAAATTTCTCACTTGTGTTTAATGTTTGCTTTTAAAAAACAATAAGAGAAGGTGAGCAAAGGGAATAAAAAATTAACCAAAGGAAAAAACATAATAGACATATGGAGACATTCTGAAACTAATGAGTGTGTAGGAAAATGAAATTAATAAGATAATGAGACATCACTGTTCTACTGTTACCTTGGCAAATAATGAAAATGGCAAGTCCTGGGGAAATGAGCACTCTACTATACGATTTGTGAAAGTGTAAAATTGGCAACATTTTTTGGAATCTGTAAAACTTCTAAGGATACTTACCTCATGTTTCAGCCATTCCACTTCTAGAAACTTACCCTGTGGTTTTTCCAACAGAAAGCATAAAGATGTGTGTACAAGATTGTTCATTGCAGCATTATCTGTAAGAACAAAAATTTGAAAACAAAACAGCTTGTCTACTCATATGGGAATGGATAAATAAATGATACACCCACACACTAAAATACTTGCTGTTAGTTGCAAGGAATGCAGTTAGCTGGCAGCATCTAGCTGCAGCACCTTTGGGATCCACAAGAGTGTCTGGACCAGTGCTGCATTCTTCCCATGTAGCCCCCTGTGGTGGATAAGCACCCAGGATTGGCCATTTCTCTTCAGTGTGAGACTCCACTAATGGGAATTCTTGGCTCTGAGGGCCTCTCTGGGTTGGCTGAGGTTTTGTCAGATTTACATCGTGGTCTGAGTCTGTCCCCTTTCCTTTCACAGGTGTCATACAGGCACAATAGTCTGAAAGCTCTCCCTGCCTAATACTGCTTCCTCCCCCTTAGCCTTTCACAGGCCTTCCCTCAGGCAACCCGTCTGGGCACTCCTTAGCAAA